TCGTCGATGGCCAGCTGTGCGCGTCCCCCCCGCAGGTCCGCGGTGGTCTCCAGGATGGACAGGCCGTTCACCACGTAGCCTGCCGAGCCCTCGAACTCGACCCAATTGCATTTATCTCGTCTGCCCCATAGGAAAATGGGTTGAAACGCAATTGGAGACTCCAGGGGTCGAAATCTCCCCCCTGCCCCAACTCCATATTTGAATGGGGTGGGGATCCCTCGATCCCTCGAACCGTCTGATGGTCAAGACTCCGAATCCGTGGTTGCCATGGTCATGTCTCCCTAGAAATCCTTACCATGGTTGTCCAAATTCCCTAGTATGGTGTCCATGACCTATCAATTGGTTCATGGTTCGCTTTATCATCGTGGTCATCTGGAAGCCCATTTGGGAGCTTCGGAATCTCTGCTCCTATCTAAAACAAGCACGGCTTGTGGGCACCCTCTGAAAAGAAATGGCAAGAGGTGGGGGCATTTCCTTTTGGCCTCTTGGATGTTCAATCCACTTATTAAGTGGATCGTAGCCATGGTTGTGACTGGGGTAATTGGCACAACCATGCTTACCAAGTTGGCTGAATATCCAAGCAGAAGCCACCCGCCACACGGCGTTCCTTTTGTAAAGGAAGCGATTCCTTTGATGACAGCTTTGCGGAACACTGTGGCTTCGCTCGGAAGAACCAAAGCGCCTCCAGGTGGCTTGTTGGTTTCCTTCCAGTAGTGAAATCAAGTCCCTTTAAAACGTTAACCACGGAAAATAAAGCAAACAAAAAAAATTTTAGCAAATGGAAGGGCATTTTGAGACAGACCTACTTGAACACAGGAAAGCCTACCTTTCTCGTCTGATCTAGAGGTTCCCATGGATTGTTGGATGAGAAATCTCTCACCTTTCTGGGCTGGGACAGGGCCTGCAACTTTGAACAGGAGCGTTGTCCTTCTAAAATTGCAAAAACGATTTTTCTTGAGCTTCACAAAACTTAAAACATGCAGGGACCGAGATGTTTTTAAAAACCGGTTCCCAGGACACCGAAACCGGCTTGGACTTTCTTCGGCCAAGAAATCTCGTCTTGGGACCCCACGAAAGGCATTCACGAAGCGAGCACTTAAAAAAAACGGCACGACGCCACGACCGCCCAAAGCCATTGCCCCAACCCCCCCTGTCACCATCACCGAAGGTCATATACCATTCACCACCTAGAGCAAAGCTGGTACTTTACCATCAATCATCACCAAGGATGAGAATATGAGTACCACCCAAGACATGCCCCACATCTAAAGTACACTGAACATCTTGCGGCCCATTTTCTTATTTTGTTGGGGGGGGGGGACCACCATTTGTACCTGATGCGGCCTTGTGTGAGCCATTCTAGGTACCAATGGGCAACCCTCGGGTGCTGGAAGGGGAACATCCACCAACAAAGCTTCAAATTTCAGCCAACATAAATTCCTTTGGAGACCCACCGGAAGAACAAAAACACACACACACACACACACACACACACACACACACTCTCCGTGTTCCAGATCCGATTCGGGGCCCCGGGCGGCAGGGCGTGAGCTGCGCCACCTCGAACAAGAACTCCCCGAGGTGCTGCGGCCCCCCGTTGACTTGCCTCCGGCTTTTGGACGTCGGGTCAACGGGGATCCAGCGGGTCCAACTCAGCTTCCCACTTGGAGCCAAATTTGACCAAAAACCCGGCAACCATCAGCTTCCAGTCGGCAAAGAAGCCAAACTTCTGAAGCCAAACGGAGAACACAACACCTTAACATCCAAACCACTAAATCACCAAACCAAACCACCAACTAGGGGAAAGGTGAAACAAGATGCTCAAGTGTTTCTAAGTTGTCCAAACGCTCCAGCCCGCGCTCTGTGTTCTGTAAATTGAAGTCCAAGCCAAGCCAAGGCCTCGAATTAAGTAAGACCTAAAAACGCTGTGGGCTTTTTGCTCAGAGCACCAGCAGAGTCGTAATCAAAGCCCAGCATTAAAACGGTCTAACCAGAACCATGCCTCAAGAATTAATTGAGAACACGGACTTGGAAGGCACCCATGTCTGGCAAGGCGGAGGCATGGATTATGGCAGGGACCCGGATCTTTCCAGTAAACCATCAGAACCCAGAAACAGATCTGGTTCTTGAGAAAAGAAGGATGGTTGAAAAGAATGGACAAGGAATCTACCCCTAGCGACTCCGCTCGCTCGGCTTTCGCCGAGGCGCCGGCGCTGTTCCATGGTCAGCTGGCCCCAGGCTCGCATCCGGCTGGAGGCATGGAGCGCGGCGAGCACCGCCAGGGCGCCGAAGGCGGCAGGGCGGCGCATGCCGAAGGGGTCTGACCCGGGGTCAGACCCGTGGCACCCGGAGCTCGAGCCGAGTGGAAAAGTCGGAGCTTGGAAGGTTGGACTGGAATGTCAAGCGCTTGATACAGATCCCAATTGAACAAAACCTGGTCAAACACAACAACAAAATGCGTGTTGTTCTATCTCCGCGCTGTTTTTGCGTAGGCAGTGAGCTACGAGTCATCCTGCAACAACGATGAATTGAACAAGAACTCGATTGTCCAGGTTGGGCCAGGGTACTGCATGTAGTTTTGCTTTCGTCAAGGTTGCTGCGCTACCTGGGCTACCTGTGACTGTCTGGAAACTAGCGGAGGAACAAACAGCTGCATACAGCTTGGCTTGTGGTATTGACCCGTCCGTTACTTGCGTTCAAACAGGGGCGCTTGGTTCGCCTTCCAGCGCGCGGGTCGCCTTGAACCGATTCCTCGGCCGATGGCTTGGCCACCCCACCTGAAGCCGACGGGCTCGGGACTTGTCTGCAGCCACCACCGTGTGGGTCTCGCCTGACGAACACAAGCAACACGGATGTGGTTGCGGTTGCGGTTGCGGTTGTGGTAGTTGTGGTGGTGGTTGTGGTTGTGGTGGTTGTGGTTGTGGTGGTTGTGGTTATGGTGGTTGTTGCAGTTGTTGTCGTCGTTGTCGTCGTTGTGGTTGTTGTGGTCGTTATGGTGGTGCTGTGGTTGTTGTTGTGGTTGTTGTGGTCGTTGTGGTGGTTGTTGTGCTGTGGTTGTTGTTGTCGTTGTCGTCGTTGTGGTGGTTGTTAGGTGGTTGTTGGGTGGTTGTGGTGGTGCCGTGGTTGCTGTTGTGGCTGTTGTGGTCGTTGCGGTGGTTGTGGTTGTTGTGGTTGTGGTTGCGGTTGTGGCTCTGGTTTTGGCTCTGGTTGTTGCTGCTGTTGATGCTGATGCCGATGCTGATGCTGATGCTAATACTGACGATGACGATGATGTTGATGTTGGTGTTGGTGTTGGTGATGCTGCTGCTGCTGCTGCTGCTGCTGCTGCTGCTGCTGCTGCTGCTGCTCCCGGTCTTTTGCTAGCGGGCGAAAGAAAACAACCGTTGCCTTCAGCGTCAATGGCATGTTGGGCTTCTCGGATCGCTCCCACACCTGCCAACCAGGGCTCGGACCCTGGATAGGACCTGGCCGATGCTCGAAGAACAAGTCACGACCAGGAAGAGCTCAAACCGAAAGCTGCTTCTGTGCGCTCACCCTAGGCCTTTTTCGCCCACACCCGCTGGCTTTTGGGCTCATGACCCAACCGTCAGCGTTTTGGACCAGCAACCCGAACGTCATGCGTGCGGCGTGAGATTAGTTTAAATGTTGCAAACTTAGGTTTGTGACACAGGCCAGTTTGTCAGCCGCCAGTCCTGCATTGCATAGCCCTGATTTGAGACAGATTAAGCGAAAAAGGTGGCATGTCGGGACCGCATTCGATGGCGCAGTGCCGTGACGGAACTCTGCGTGTCAACATGCATCAAAAAAGGGCGCTCCTTGCGTACCACTGCCCGAAGGTGCGAACTTGCAATTGGGTCACTCTAGCCCAAAAACAACGGGGATGGGATATAAGAGCACATGAGCCATGTCCTAAACGTTGATTTGCTAAGTCGTATCATTTTGATTACGCCACTAGCTTACGCCACCGTACGCACGTGCAGTCTTTGCTTACGCACAGGTCGTGATGACACGACTCTTACTAACCATGTATAGGGAGGTGTTGGACGCCGCTCACATGTTCATCCCGCGCAGGCCAGGCGCTTCTGGGTTGAGGTGCCAGAGCTCGTTCGCAGGTCTTGAGTATTGCCTTCAAAACTTCAGCTGAAACCAAGCAGAGATTCGGAGATCTCCATCTGTGCCTCAAAAAACGACAGACCCATTTCAGCAAATACAGGGTTAACTGCCTAGTCAATCCGTCAATGGATCGAGCATGCGTCTCTCAAAGGGAACTTGGGCTCTGGGAAGCCTAGTTCCAGTTGCCCCTCATAAGCCATTTGTTCCTTTCGGACTTTCTGGCGGTTCCCTTGGGTCTCTACCAACGGAACTGGTTTCAAACCCGAGCAATGCCCAGGTGCAACGCCCCCCCCCCCCCCAAATGGTCCCCAAAACGCGGCGAGGCCGGCAGCTGGTCACTTCCGACGAATCCGCCTGCGGCCAAAGCTGGCAGTGGACGAGCCGGGACCGAATCGAGCAGAAGTGGCTTTGGTGGGCTCTGGGGAACCAAAGGGAAACCAACGGACAGCAACAGAAACCAAGGGAAACGAAGAAAGGGAACCAAGGGTGTAGAAAGGAACTCTGACCTACACAAGTGTCAGCTGGCCATTTTTTTCCGCGCAGCCTCCCCTTTCAAAGGACATCTCCATGTGAGAGCCACGCGCCAAGAAATGGATCTTTTTTGGTTGCATGTGAGCCCCGGCAAGACATGACGAGAAAAACGAGCGAGAAACACGAAGGCTTTGGCCGAATTTTCCCATGCTCCGGAGAATATTGCCCACCAAAGAAAAGACCAAAGGGAAGCCAACGGACAGCCACAGAAACTAAGGGGAAACCAAGGGGAGACCAAAGGGAGACCAAAGGGGGACCAAAGGGAAGCCACCAAAAAACCAAGGGAGTAGAAAGGAACTCCGTACCTACCCGAGCGTCAGCTGGCATTTGCCATGGCCCGAGACTTCCCCTTCTTCCGCCTCCGCGAGGACCTGGTCCGGGCAGGGGAAGGCCAGCACGGAGGAGTGCCTCGCAGGCTCTTTTTTGGCCCTGAGACCAGCGGCCGGTGCCAAAAATCGCCCTCTACCAGAAGGGATGAAATCCTTGCATTGGCACTACCAGCGGAGGGGGAGATGATGGCATTGAATTCATTTCGCCGAAAGCCACCTGGAGATGGGCCGCACGCTTTCCTCTCTGTTTCTATTTACCGATCGGCTTGCCCCATGTTGGGGTTCCCAAATATGTTCGACCACCATACCCATGTGTTTGTGGCTCGATTTTAAGGGGGGGAACAAATCCCCCAAACAAACGACAAAACAGCAGCACCCCATGTTTTTGGAACACGCCCAAAAAAAAGAACGACGACCAAAAACCGGCCAGCACCCCGATTCTTGAGTCCACCCCCTGCCAAACTCCCCCCCGTCCGTCCGCCACCCGCCAGCCGCCCTGCCGCCCAGCGGCGTCTGCTGGCGGATGTTGATGTACCGCGGCGGCTTGGCGCCGACGCGGGCCCGGTGCACCTCGAGCCGATCGTCATCGAGCGCCGGAGCCCAGCGAGGCGGTCGCTCTCTTTTTCGGAGGGTGCACCCGCGTTGGTCATTCAAAAAAAAGGACGCCGAGAGGAAAACCCATCATTTGGGGATTCAAAAAAAAAGGAAAGCCAAGAGGAAACCCCCTCATTTTGGGGGGAACCGGGATTCCCCGAAACAAAGGAGTCATATCATATGGTATTCTAGGCACGGTCAAAGGCGTTGTTGCAGCTCCAATTTGCTCTCACGTTCCTGCGGGTCAGATTCGCCAAACTGTGCTTGAAGGGTCCAGATCCATCGTCTTCTCCGTGACATGCAAAGGACAACGTTCTGTGATTCAAACCACCAGGAAACCACAAAGTATGTTTGATTGTTTTTTTTGCTTTTTTTTTAAAGTTAAAACCGCAAACAGGTACGCTCAAAACGAGACACGCCCAATCTAACTTTTTCATGACACCGGGTCGCAGAAAAGAAGCTTTCTTCTGGGTCCGATTTTAGCGGGAATCCTCCGCTCGCGTCTCATGTCTTATCGAGTGGATTGGCCGAAAAAGTGCATGTTTGGTTGCTTGCCTCTAAAATGGGCCAAACCCAAAAAGTGAACAAAGTCCAGGAACCCAGGGAGAGAGCTTTCTTCTTTGGCTCGGGGCATCACCAAGGCGATCCCTAATCCGCTGGAGGAAACTCCAACAAGGCTCCCGGTTTTCCGGGTAAAAGATCACGTCACCCCCAAAGCTCACTTTCAAAAGGCCCTACTGTTGGGTGATGCACTCTTTGCTTAAACCTCAAGGGGCAACATACTGTGGATGGACGAAATCCTGCACCACCTAAGAAACCCCGGAATGATGATTCCCCTGTAAATACCCATGAACAGTGGTTTCCCATGGTTTCCAAGTGGTGCAGGATTCGTCCATCCACAGTATGGCTGGCTCTTTTCGTTTCTTTGAGGCTCGCTCAAACCCTCCCCCCCTGTTTTTCGTTTGAGCCATGGAAAAAACGGACCCCCCCCCCCGCCTTGTTTTTCCGCTTGAAGCATTAAATTACACCAGCATAGACCCCAGATAGCACACCACGGATACGAACCATTATCATGATGATGTAGACCATGATGACACCACAGCCACGAAACAAACGCGCAGACAACGTCCTAATGAGATCAGCAGCATAATGATGATTTTGAGAGCAATCCGGCAGGAAAAAGCAAAAACGAGGTCCTAATGAGTTCGACAGCATCATGATGATGCGGACAGCATCATGATGATAAGGACAGCATCATGGTGATGCGAACAGCATCATGCTGATGGTAAAGGCAGCATCATGATGATACCACAGCCACGAACCATCTTGCGACAGCTTAATGAAATTCTGCATCATCCTGATGTTGACAGCATCACGGCGCCACTACACCCACACACCATAACGTGGGAACATCATGACGATACACCAGCCACGAACCGTTACACGCGAACAGCATCCACCAGCACCCCAAACATGCCCCCTAGCACCCGGTACAACCAAAGCAGCATCCACCCGCGCCTCAAACTGCATGCCCCTTAGCACCCGGCCGTCAAGCTCGCAAAGCAGCATCCACCAGCACCCCAAACTGCATGCCCCCTAGAACCGGCCGTCAAGCTCGCAAAACAGCATCCACCAGCACCCCAAACTGCATGCCCCCTAGCACCCGGCCAGCTCGCAAAACGCATCCACCAGCAGCCCAAACTTGCATGCCCCCCAGCACCCGGCCGTCAGCAGCTCGCTAAAACGCATCTCCAAACTGCACCCCCCTTAGCACCAGCCCATCCAGCAGAACGTCAGCCTCCCACCAGCTTTCTTGCAATCACCCGGCATGAGGTGGCTTTCGCCGCTCGCTGCAGCAGCAGCATCCACCAGCACCCTCAAACTGCATGCCCCCAGCACCCTCCGTCAAGCTCGCAAAACAGCATCCACCCCCAGCACCTCAAACTGCATGCCCCCTAGCACCCGGCCGTCAAGCTCGCAAAGCAGCACCCACCAGCACCCAGACTGCATGCCCCCTAGCACCCGGCCGTCAAGCTCGCAAGCAAACCCACCAGCACCTCAAACTGCAGCCCCTAGCACCCGGCCGTCAAGCTCGCAAAGCAGCACCACCAGCACCCCAAACTGCATGCCCCCTAGCACCCGGCCGTCAAGCTCGCAAAGCAGCACCCACCAGCACCCCAAACTGCATGCCCCCCAGCAGCATCCACCAGCACCTCAAACTGCATGCCCCCCAGCACCCGGCCGTCAAGCTCGCAAAGCAGCATCCACCAGCACCTCAAACTGCATGCCCCCTAGCACCCGGCCGTCAAGCTCGCAAAGCAGCATCCACCACACCTCAAACTGCACGCCCCCTAGCGCCCGGCCCTCAATCTCGCAAAGCAGCATCCACCAGCACCTCAAACTGCATGCCCCCTAGCACCCGGCCGTCAAGCTCGCAAAGCAGCATCCACCAGCACCTCAAACTGCATGCCCCCTAGCACCCGGCCCTCAATCTCGCAAATCACTTTCCCCTCTTTATTAGAAGTTAGAACCCCTATAGCTTTCAGCTATCTGGGGAAAAAAAATACTATATTTGTTCCCGGCAACAACAATCACTCCGCGCCATGTTTGGGGTAGAAGGATAGGTGGGGGAAATGCCGAGTTTGCCGCGGGGGTGCCGGCGAAGAAACGAAACCGGTCTACGGGAAGAGGTCCCGGTCCCCGGCCCTCACCACGTCGCCCAGGCAGAGGAAGGGCAACTTCTCCACGCCCTGCGAGGTCGGAGAGCCGCGGGTTTCACCGCGGCCAAGGAAAACGAAACCAACCCCGGAACGCCACGCACGGGGACGAATGGCGGAAGAAAAAAACGTGGCCAGGGGCAGAGCCAAAGCAAAAAGAGAACGAGGAGCTGCGAAGAAGAAGAAGATCCACTTCTATAAACGTGATGTTCTCTGAACTGGCTCCCTTTTGCAATCAAACGCTTGCAAGTCTTGAAAGGAAAGCGTCATAACTGCTGAGTGGAATGCCTTGCCAGGTGCCAAAGTCGAAAAATGGCATGGCGCGAGCCTCTCTCTCCTACTCCCAAACAAGTTCTGCAGTCAGCAAGCTTGTGCTTATGCAGCTACAGTAGCTTGCGTCTGCCTAGGTGGGCGGTCAGTGCCACTGTCCTAACAGCACACCTCCTGTAGACAACACCCACCAGTTGGGATGCATGATAAATATTGCAATGGAACAATCGAAACCCTGAGATCTGCCCAGAGAAGAAGAACAAAAACACGCCGGCATGCTGTCGGTGTGTGACCCGGCTCCAAGGAAAAGCCCCCGCTTTGAGGGAAAAAATCAAAACAAAACATCTGGAGAGGTCCAGGGCTTGTGGTTGGTGCTGCAATTTTAAAACACTAGATTTAGAAACATATATATTAATCTATCTAATAGTACATCATTCTTTACTTTGCTATCACTACCTAAAGATGAAATCTTATTAGATTTTGCTTTAGGGCGTCCACCACACGCCATGTTGCCATCGTCGGGACCTGGGGGCCCTGGACGGAGATGGTCAGGCCGTAGAGGGGGAAGTCTTTGTTCAGGCACCTATGCCGAATCGCCACGGCGAGCAGTGGGCATGTTCTTCGAAGCAAGAGGACATGGGTTCCTGTGGCACCATGTGCTGCAGAAATTCGATTCTTAGTAATGAGCTGACCAAATCACCGGTAGTTATTGCCAGTCAGTTGCTCATCGACATGTGTTGGAGATCCACTGGCGCTTGACACGAAATAGTTGATTTGGTTGCTCGGTACGCGAACAGACTTGGAGCGGCTGCCACCAGCGTGCAGTCCATTCATCTTGAGGCAATTAAGCCCCTTGGAAAAACTTTTATAAAAAATGTCCAGCAGTGATAGATGCCCTTTAAAGCAAACAGGAAGACATATAAACATATTCTTAAGCAAATGGAATTAGATGCTTGCGGAAAGCGGGTTGGCGCCAGCCTTGCCTCTCTACTACCAGCGCGCCACGAATCAACGGATTTCATGGTTTCCCAACGTGCGAAGGAACAAGGCTCACATGCGTCATAGTCAAAACCCGGTAGTAAAATGATCGACCCAGAACCATGTGAAGAATTAGGAAGACGGCCGCAGCCAGTTGTTGTTGGGATTGTCCCTGACTAACCTTCATCTACCCGAATCGGTTTTGTTTGTGGCTCGCATGCTCAATGGGCATAGGATGTGTTCGAACCCATGGTCACATCTTCTCTACCAAGTGAGCAGACAAATGAGCGACGTTCTGAAAGTAGCCTTAGGCAGGAACTATCGGGTTCAAAACGTCGATTTCCCTAGGCCCTTGACAGCGCCGCGAAATGTGTGCGAAGGACTGTCTCATCATTTGGGTGTGGCTCAAAATTAAACAGGAGGGGCAAACCGCAGGTTTTGGTCCATATTTCCACTTCCCAGGGTTCCATTGTGGAATTCCGGTTTTTTGCGCCACGGCCATTTTACGTCCCGTGAAAGGCCACAAGCTTGAAACATACAGGAGGTGAGTCATAATCAAAACCTGGTACAAAAATGGTCCACCCAGAACCATGCAAAGAGTTCAGAAGGCGGCAGCTATTTATGGCTGGGATTCTCCCTTACTACCCGCCAATTACCCGAATCGGTTTTGCTTGTGGCAGAGGTGTCTTTTCAGGTTGGTTCGACCAGACATAGATGCGCAGGCCACTGATTTAGATGGGTTCCCCCCATTCACTCCGCTCTGAGCTGCCGAACCACTCGGCGCAGGCCGCGTGGTCGAAGGACCTTTTGCCCCAAGTGCTGGCCCAGCATAGCGTCTTTTTTCAAGCGACCCCCAACAAAAATGCTGGTTTTCCTATTGGTCTCCCTTTGAACCCCCCTGCCCCGCAATCAATCGTTTTGCAGGTGAGAATGATGCCCTTCCGCATGGATGAACTCGAAATTCGGAAACCATTGCTCAGCGGATGCCAGCTGTCGCAACAATTCTTCAGCGCGTCCTTCGACTTTGGGCTACGCCCCATCGCCAGGCCATCGAACTGCCGCAAAATGAAGTGCCAACAAAAGGAAATCTTCGCACAATGCAAAGGAACAACGCCCCAAGTCATACTCCACGCTTCCCCCTCCCCCCCCCCCCCGGTGCTTGAAAGGAGACCAAGCTTCAGCACAAGCCGAAGAAGTCCATGAAAAGGCAGGGGAAAGGAGGTCAACCGTGTCCATAGCTGTCCTTTTAGGAAACTAGATGGGTTTCCCTGGTAAATGGCGCACACAACCCATCTAAACCAGTGGCTTGTATTTCTATTTCTATCCGAACCAACCGATCAAGAGGACGCCTACTGTGGATGGACGAAATCCTCTTAGGCGCCACCTATCAAACCCTGGTTTCTGATGATTCCCCTGCAAATACCGAACCATCTGGTTTCCCATGGGTTCGAAGTGCAGGATTTCGTCCATCCACAGTGTCATGGCCAAACGCAACTTGGTTGCTGGAACTCATAAGTTGCCAACCAGCCCAGAAAGATGGTGTCCCGCACATTCTAAGGGTTGATTCCTTGACCATTCTTCTCAACCATCGTTCTTTTCAAAAAAAAAAAACAGCTGGTTCCCCAGGGCTTTTGGAGGTTTTCTAGAAAGAAGGATCTCTGGAAAGAATGGGCAAGGTAGCACTAGAATGGCTAAAAGAACAGCACCGCACCCCCCACTATTGCGGGGCCTTCAGATTGACAAAAGTGGGGGATTTGTTGCAAAGAAGCAAAGAAAACACCCCCATCAGAAATGGGTGTGGCTCAAAATTAAACAGGAGGGGTTACGCAGGTTTTGGTCCATGTTTCCACTTACCAGCGTTCCATTTTGGTGCCGGTTTTTTGAGCCACAGCCAAAAGAGTAATGCCGTTGCCTAAAGTGGATCTTGCAGCACCTAAAGTTTCAACCGCCAGCTCCGAGCTCCGGGCGGGTCCACCACCGTCCAGTTCTGCCTCGCCCAGCTGCGCTCAAAGGCAGGCCCCGGCCTCGGTGCACGAGACCGCTGACTTGTACGCGCCGTTGCTAAGTCGGGGGTGTCTTCAAAAAACATATTGAGTATACACATCTTATCTTATCTATCTATCTCCATTTATCTATCTGTCTATCTGTCTATCTATAATATATATATATATATGTGTTATATATGTATTATAGATGTATATGTTGCTAAGTTAGTTTGTCTTGCAAGAATATAGAGAGAGAGAGATGTATATACGTACATATCTGTATGTGTATATATATACATCACAAGCCAGTCTTGGAGTGTGTGTGTGTGTGTGTGTGTGTGTGTGTGTGTGTGTGTGTGTGTGTGTGTGTGTGTGTGTGTGTGTGTGTGTGTGTGTGTGTGTGTGTGTGTCGTGTGTGTGTGTGTGGTGTGTGTGCGTGTGTGTTTTTGGTGTGTGTTTTTGGTGTGTGTTTTTGGTGTGTGTGTTTGGTGTGTGTGTGTGTGTGTGTGTGTGTGTGTGTGTGTGTGTGTGTGTGTGTGTGTGTGTGTGTGTGTGTGTGTGTGTGTGTGTGTGTGTGTGTGTGTGTGTGTGTGTGTGTGTGTGTGTGTGTGTGTGTGTGTGTGTGTGTGTGTGTGTGTGTGTGTGTGTGTGTGTGTGTGTGTGTGTGTGTGTGTGTGTGTGTGTGTGTGTGTGTGTGTGTGTGTGTGTGTGTGTGTGTGTGTGTGTGTGTGTGTGTGTGTGTGTGTGTGTGTGTGTGTGTGTGTGTGTGTGTGTGTGTGTGTGTGTGTGTGTGTGTGTGTGTGTGTGTGTGTGTGTGTGTGTGTGTGTGTGTGTGTGTGTGTGTGTGTGTGTGTGTGTGTGTGTGTGTGTGTGTGTGTGTGTGTGTGTGTTTGTGTGTGTGTGTGTGTGTGTGTGAGTGTGTGTGTGTGTTTGTGTGTGTGTGTGTGTGTGTGTGTGTGTGTGTGTGTGTGTGTGTGTGTGTGTGTGTGTGTGTGTGTGTGTGTGTGTGTGTGTGTGTGTGTGTGTGTGTGTGTGTGTGTGTGTGTGTGTGTTGTGTGTGTGTGTGTGTGTGTGTGTGTGTGTGTGTGTGTGTGTGTGTGTGTGTGTGTGTGTGTGTGTGTGTGTGTGTGTGTGTGTGTGTGTGTGTGTGTGTGTGTGTGTGTGTGTGTGTGTGTGTGTGTGTGTGTGTGTGTGTCCATCCCTGTTGCCAAGGGCTGATCTGAGTTCTTTGTCAGACTCGCAAGCTGGGAGTCTTTGCAAATTGTCGAGGTGGTTTCCAAGTATGTGGAGTAGGCCACAGCCATCCTTGGGTCTAGTCTGTGGCCCTGACGAGTAGGGCCCAAGGATGACGAAACTCCACTCAATCAATTAAAGTGCATGTGTGCCCACTGGGCTTGATCCTGACCCTCGCAGAAGAAATGAGACACAACAAGGACCGAGAGAGGGGGGATTTCACAAGTGTGATCCAGGCAGTAGTTCGTTTAACGGGCTGCCTGCGGTAGGATAGCCTACTGTGTTTGATTGAGCCTTGCCATCGGCTCGCGCGCAGCATTGGTCATTCAGTTGACCCTCAGATGTCAGTTTTGACCCTTGAGGTCCCCAGGTTTGTTTGGAACTTGCCTTTGTTCCGCCAAGCTTTGGGAGTCTTCCCACTCAGTTGCCATTTCATGGTTGGTGCTGTGAAGCACAACGGAGACTGCCAGCGATGTCTATCGCCTCAGAAACCAGCATGCCCATTGGGTCTGAGAGGCCGTAATCCCCCCGATGTATTTTTTGCTGCTGTCTAAATTTGCCCCTTATGGCCGTTAGTTCTCGGATTGTTCAAGTTTTCTTGTGCCATCAGACCTGCAGCAAACCGTCGGTTTTTCTGGCCCGCGGGTGATTCAAATACCCGGCCGGGGCCCCGGCGTTAGTGGAGCATCTCGGATCTGTTCGTTCTTTTTGTTGTTTTCTTGTTCTTTTTCTTTTTCCTCGCTTTGCGCAAGATCCCTTTGGCCCTTTTGCAACGATTCTCTTTGCAAGGCCGCGGTGACTGCGGCGCGTCTGGCTCTGTACAGGCCACAGGGTTTGGAGCCTTTTCACGTCTTGTTCATTTTAGTTTGGCCCGCGGGCGTTTTACACACCCGGCTGGGGCCCAGCGGTGGGATTTGGGTTCTGCGCAGGCTGCAATGTCCATGGCGAAAGAAGTGCCGCGTGGCTGATTGTGTGTGTCCATCCCTGTTGCCAAGGGCTGATCTGAGTTCTTTGTCAGACTCGCAAGCTGGGAGTCTTTGCAAATTGTCGAGGTGGTGCCGGCTATCCGGACTCTCCATTTCTTTTCCAAGTATGTGGAGTAGGCCACAGCCATCCTTGGGTCTAGTCTGTGGCCCTGACGAGTAGGGCCCAAGGATGACGAAACTCCACTCAATCAATTAAAGTGCATGTGTGCCCACTGGGCTTGATCCTGACCCTCGCAGAAGAAATGAGACACAACAAGGGCCGAGAGAGGGGGGATTTCACAAGTGTGTGTGTGTGTGTGTGTGTGTGTGTGTGTGTGTGTGTGTGTGTGTGTGTGTGTGTGTGTGTGTGTGTGTGTGTGTGTGTGTGTGTGTGTGTGTGTGTGTGTGTGTGTGTGTGTGTGTGTGTGTGTGTGTGTGTGTGTGTGTGTGTGTGTGTGTGTGTGTGTGTGTGTGTGTGTGTGTGTGTGTGTGTGTGTGTGTGTGTGTGTGTGTGTGTGTGTGTGTGTGTGTGTGTGTGTGTGTGTGTGTGTGTGTGTGTGTGTGTGTGTGTGTGTGTGTGTGTGTGTGTGTGTGTGTGTGTGTGTGTGTGTGTGTGTGTGTGTGTGTGTGTGTGTGTGTGTGTGTGTGTGTGTGTGTGTGTGTGTGTGTGTGTGTGTGTGTGTGTGTGTGTGTGTGTGTGTGTGTGTGTGTGTGTGTGTGTGTGTGTGTGTGTGTGTGTGTGTGTGTGTGTGTGTGTGTGTGTGTGTGTGTGTGTGTGTGTGTGTGTGTGTGTGTGTGAGTAAACGCTACCTCCAGACAGCTTCCACGGTGGGACTTAACGAATTTCAATTGCGGATCCTTCGGTGGACAGCAAATGTAGGTGAAGATTGATGCCGAGCGTCCACTTTTTACGCCAAGAGCCTTGGTGGCACCCAAGCCAATTCCGGCAAAAAGCCCATCTGCCTCCAGTCTCATTCAGAAACCCCCTGCTCCAAACACCCGCCTTTTCCGGTGTATTTTGAAAAACTGGGTGTTCCATCCCTCTTTAGCAAAGGGCTGACATCATAGGCGTCCTTTTGGGAAAATAGACGGATTTCCCTGGTGGATTATGAAACAACCAAGTCAACCAGGAATCGCTTTCTATTTTCTACCAAAACAAAAGGACACCCACTGCTTGCGGATGGACCAAATCCGTTACTACTTTGAAACCATGGTTCAAACCATTGTTGGCATTTGCAGGGGAATCGTCCGAAACCAGTTTCTTAGTTGCAGTTGACCCCTGGGTAATAAACCCCCACTTCTTCATCAGGCTCCCTTTTAGTGGTTGGATTTCCTTGACTACCTGGGTTGATTGATCATGGTTGAAGCCCTTGTTGGTATTTACAGGCGAATCATCCTTCCAGGGTTTCTTAGGTGCGGGGTCCCATTTTGGTTGGATTCCTTTCTTCCAGACTCTCTTGATGAACTGGATTGATTAATCAGGGTCAACATGGTTGACACCTGAGAAACGCTGGGCGCTCGCTGGGGCCGACGCAGGGCATTCTCCCAGACCACCGCCCACAAGTTTGCCTCGGCCGAAAAGGCTTGGGCCGAAGAGGTCTTCGATGCCCCCAAAATCGCCTCATGTTCAAGGGCAAAACATGAGGAAAACTGGGAAACTCTGCGTTTTTTGGGGGATCCAGTTCCAGAAAAAACGGAAGACCCGTCGTTGTTGGGGTCTAGTTCAAAAAACACACAGAAAATCCGTCCTTTTTGTGAATCTAGTCCAAACAAACAGCCTACACTGGGAAAACTGGGAAACTCCGCGTTTTTTGGGGGGTCTATAATTCCACAACAAACCCGGACACCCCGTCGCTTTTCGGGGCCTCGCCCCAAAAAAAACGACCCCACCGATCATCGCGCAACTTGCCTCGGGCCGAGCGGCTCCGAGCGACTCGGCCCGAGGGCCGGGCGTCGGCGCCGTCGCGCAGGGTGCACAGCCACCGGTGGTACCTGTACCTCGCTGAGTCGATCCTTGGGAAATTTCCCAGAGGCGCCTGGGCCCCAAAGGGGATCTTTCATACCTCCCCCCCCCAAAACCCCACCCCGCCGCCAGAAAAGAAAGATCGGGGAGGGGAACTCCCCCCCCCCAAAAAGAAGAAGAAAACTAAAAACACACCCAAAACAAAGAAGATGAGGGGCTGTCAGTTCGGCCGAATGGAGGAATCAAATGGATGAGTCTCTGCTATGAAGGACGAAAGTTCAAAGTCACTGGACCAGCCAGCCAGCCAACTAACCAACCATCCACTTCAGCTTCACCCGCTCACATCCCAAAGCCGTGAGACGAAACGGAAAGACCGTTACAACCAGCCGACGGCAACCAGCACAGAGGCTGTCAAAAAACAATGGCGACGTTGCAACTCTCTTATTTTGCAACTCCTTTCAGTGGCATTCAAGGGGCCCACACAATCTCTCGGTCACCACCCAATCTTTCATCCGAAACTCTGAGAAACACAGAGGGCAAATGATACTGTGGACCTAAGAAGCCCTGGAAGAATTCGATTCCCCAACGTAAATACCAATAAACGGCATGGTTTCAACCATGGTTTCGGAGTGCAGAATTTCGTCCATCCACAGTATCCCCACCCTCTTGTGGGGTTTTCCCCGGTACCCCGGGTCTTCCCCTTGTTCTATACATCATCTTGTGGCTTCCTTCCGGTTGGGGCAAAAAACTGTTTGCCCAAGTTTTTAGTTTTTTTTAGTTTTTTTTTTTTTTTTTTTTCGACCCCCTTTCACACTTCCGGAACCCTATTTCCAGTGCAAACCACTCCTGAACCTATCCGGTTGCAAAGACCGCCAAGCTGGGGGAAAAACAAAACCAGTTGTGTCTCAATATTCAGTCGAGTCTAGCAAGACACATGCCCAGCTGTTAGCAGGCTTGAGATTTATCCTGCTAAAAGTCTAACTTGTGGGTTGAGTGGAAACCCAACGACTAAACACTGAAAACCTGAAACCAACGCGGATGGCTGGGACCACCAAGAAAAAAGCAAGCCCTGGGCCCCAAAAACGTTTCCTCTAAAGTCGCCCTCGTGTTGGGCGAAAGCCCAACCCTACAAACGGCGTCAGCCCGGAGTCGCGGGCGCACGCACCGCCGACCTGCGCGCCAGAGCAAATAGGCAGATGGGGTGGCCTTTTTCGAACGAGAGCGGAAGACAATCCTCTGGGAAAGGCAACGACTTGTCTTCTGTGATTGTGGGCAAAAGAGCTCCCTTTTGGGGTGCTGGTGCCTGGATTTCAAATTCGTCCCAAAAAACAACGCATCCACGGAAAGAAAGCCAGCCAATCCACCGCACGAGCAAGGCAGCGATTCCAGGCTATTCAAAGTCACTCATGATTCATCTTGACAGACCGGATGACAGACCGGATCCATAGGTTGCAACCCAGCGGCAGCGATTGCTTTTGTTTTTTCTGCTCCACGCCCCCCTTGGAAGAAACAGCGAGGCACGCTCCTACTGGACACACATGTCGGTCCATTTCAACCTAAAGCCCGTAGACATCGCGAGCGGAGCATCTTGGCAATTCGGCCAGACCCGAAATCGCCGGGCTGGGCCCGGCTCATTCCTCTCAATGGCCCTTCTTGTGCTGCCTGGCAAGATGGCCAGACCCCAACGGCAGACCAAAAAACGCGAAGTAAGGCGTTTGGCGTTTGGCGTTGAGCGCCCCAAACCGGGGGCTCCCTTGAGCGTCGCAGGCTCAAAAATGGGTGCAGAACATGAGGGTTTACCCTGGTTCTACCTACAGAACTGGATCCACTCGTCCGAAAAGTTGGGCGCTTCGGACGAAAGCCTGGAATGCTGCCTGCGCAGCTGCCCTCATGAATAGGGCACCAAAAGGAACACCCCGCATTTTCGTGTTTGGGGGGGTCTAAAAAACTATTTTGTCCACAGGGGGCACTGGATTTCCCCTTCAAAGGTTGCAATTTACAGGTGCTTTCTATTGAAAAAACTGCCACTTTTGGAGGAGCCACAAAAGGAAATGGAGCAAACCCTGCAATACCACGAATACCCAGAGGTCCACTCCTTACCGCAATGCCCACGTCGCTTGCGAATGCCAAGGCACACTCCCACTTGCTGCACCACCCTCAGCGGAAAGCACGTAAAAGTATTGCGACCGCTTGCGAGAGATGGACAGCCGCAACCGCAAGTTGGAACCCGTGCATTTGTAAAATCCCGGAGCCGCTGCCTTGGTTAAGTAGCCCAGTTGGTCGGAAGCTAGAGTCGAGTGACGCGAGCTATTGACGCAGTTTGCTATCGACTCTGAAAGAAAAATGATGCCCAGAATCCGTCGCCATCCGACACTCAAAAAGGCAAAACCTCACAGCCCAAGTCGTCAAGTCTTGCTTCGCACCGGCTAAAGCGCTGCACATGAACCGCTGCGCCGCGCCGCACCCAGTGACTTATGGGGGAGTTACCCGGACGCTCCACCCCTTGATCCTTTGGTTTTCTGCTTGCCTTCCGGGCCACCTGCTGCATGCTCAAACCACCACCAAAACCACCAGTCACCAGTCACCAGTCACCAAGCTCGCGGCGCAGAAACCGTTTTTGGGGGACACCCGTCACCAGCCAAGCCGACGGGTCTTTTCGGACGCCTCTGCGATCGCCTCCGCCAAAAAACACAAAAATCGGCCGAGGAGCAGCTGCTGCGTGCCGGAGCCCTCGCTCTCCAGCATCTTCTTGATCCACTTGCCGCCCTCTGCTGGGCTCAGGTTCATCCGACTGCCGTCCTAACGGGGCTAAAGGAGCGCGGGCTGAAGCAGAGCCTTGGAAACTCACTCAAACAGAGAAGGTTGTGTCTTTTGTAATTTTAAGGTTGGACCTCTTCCCCCGCCCAAATGGTGGCTTTCCTTTGGGTTTCCTTTTAAAACCGCCCCCCAACTAAGCGAAACCAAAAAAAAAGGAGCCACCCAGAAAGGCCAGTCTCCATCCAAGCCCTCCCTATCCAAACTGAAGAAAAGGCAACCAGAGCGCCACCCAAAAATTTACACAACTCCCTCTGACTCGGCTTGACTCGACTTGACTCCTTGTAGGGCCCCCGTTCCACGTCCGCCCACATGTCTGCCCGGCTGTTGGTGCCCCCAAAGCCAAAGGAGGACACCCCGGAGCACATCTCGCGCCGCGAGGTGGTCGTCAGCTCCTGGGAGCCACGCGCCGTGGCCCCGCCACACTGGCGGGCGGGAATTTTCTTGGGGGGGGCTGGGCGGCTTGGGGAGTTGGGGGTTCGGGGGGGGTTGGGGAACCTGGAGCCTGCTTCCCGAAAGCACAAACCAGGAGGCCGAACCAGAAACCAAAAGGCCACAAGGGCGGGGGGGGAAAGTCAATTTGCTTTTCGCGGCGCCCATCATGGAGCGTTTTGCTGCTTTATTCAGGGAAGCATCGGTTGAACATCCACGGAACTGGTGGAAGAATCATAAAGCACCCCCCCTCCCCCTGTCACGCCCAAGGGAAGTTCTTTTCAAAGGTGAGGGGTCCTAGGCCATGTCATCGGCAGTCAACGTTCAAGCAATGTTTGCACAGAGCAGTGGCCTTCCACGCGAAGTGGCTTACGAGATTCAAAGTCCCCCGCCCATGTTTATTCGGGCAATGTTCTATCCCTAAAGCCACCACAAAGAAAACCGGTTCCTTGCGTAACCCCAGGTAAGAATCAAGATTTGCCTTTGAACAGCCCAGTTTATTGTCAGGGGCTATGAGCTGAGAGTGAGAATTGCGGGGGTAGGTTCTGGTCTGCTCATGCCTTCGAGGATCATCAATCAGTATGCAGAACCAGTAAGCCGCAGAACTGATATGAGACAACACGGTCAAGCAAAATAGCTGTCTCGGAATCCTACAACCCCGCTGGCAGCAAAGTGTAGCATGCGTATCCCCCGTTAAGGCATGTTTAACCTGCGCTTGAGGAAAAGGTGGCCACAGAATCCTACTGATGTCCTTCCCAACAACGGGTATCGGATTGGAAGATGCCTATAGAAAAACATGCCTTGAACCACTTCGAACTGTTCTCCGGTGTGTTTTCGCAAATCACATCCCCCCCACTTCAGTTGAATCAGTTTCCTTTCCAGCTTCCCTGCCAAAAAAAAAGCCTCCAGACATCCATATGCCCAGCCCAGCTTCCCAAGCAGCATCTCTCCGGCTTCTGCCCAAGGGGCATTTGTGAACATCACCGGGTAGTTGCTCACTTCCAGGTGAGGGTTCAGCGCTGTGAGGTGAGGGTTCGGCGTGGAAGCCTCATGGGGTCGCAAAAAAAAAAAAAACGCCCGGAGAAATACGCGTTCGCCAGTGCAAATGGAGGCCATGGATTGCGTGGCACTTTGGCACTAGTTCGGAAACACTTGCATTTGTGAGAACTCAATACTCATGGAGCCCAATGCTGGTGAGAGTGCTCCTGGTGCACTGCTCAAAAGCACTCTCGCTTGTGCGACAATCAGCTTTAAGTGCTATGAAGTGAAAACGACTAAAACAAGGAGTCCTTCCAAGACGAGGCTTGCTTTAGAACCACTTGTGAGTTCCTTTAACAAAACATGATGCCGCTGGTTGGCCTTAAATGCAAATCAGTGCAAAGCCATCCGAGAAAGACACACAAGCACGCCAAGCATCCGCAGGAACTTCAGGCGGTCCAACTTAGAGCATCCTTCACGAGACTCGGGATCAGGGCCAATTCCAAGTGATTTGGAACCAATTTACGCCTAGGTCCTCCAGAAGAGAGGTTAGAATAAAGATGGCTTTGGTCGGCGACCAAAGAGCCGTAGCCCGAAGCAGTCAACGAGACCCATGTGAGCCGCAAAGACACGGACTTTCTTGGCCCGAAGGGGTCTGCGGGCCTGCCCTCCAACTAATTACCAGGCCACTCCTTCTCTTGAATCGTGTCCAAACGGTTTCCAGTTTCCTAGCAAACCTTATAATTCCTTGAGGTCCGGCAGTGGGGCTCCCCATTTTTGTCTGGTGTTTTAGCCGCCGAGGTCAGGCAATTGCTTCCTTCAAGCTCAAACCGCTTGCTGGGGCCAATTTCGTCAGAGCCGCCGCCGCATTCAGCAACAGCACCACCTCCGGACGGACCAAAAGCGACACCGGAAGGAGAGGCTTGGTACAGGTCTCTCTCTGTGGTTGTGTCTTTGAAGATTCATCTCACTTTGGCTGAAATGATTTCCCGCCTTTTTCTGCACAGCTAAGAATGCGCTTGACCCGCAGATTGCCGCCAGCGAGGGAACCAGATTCTGATGGATCCCTACGGCTATCTCTCGCTCATTGCAGGCCCGTGCCACAAGGCCTCGCTCTCCCGGGTCCCAAGGGCGAAATCCTGCACACCATTTACCATGGGAGACCATTGTTTGTTGGTACTTTCCAGGGTTTCCTAGGTGGTGCAGGATTTCGTCCATCCACACTATGAAGGGTGAAATAAGTACTTTTAGTATGCTCCCACAATTGTGGCCAAAATTGTACCCTAAAGCCCCATTCCAACTATTTATTTGGCAAAAACAGATTTCTAAACTTTCTGCTTACCACTGAAATGGTCCAACCCCGAAAAGTCTAGAGTCCAGGAATGGGAGTGAGATATGCGGAAGATAAGAAGAGGACCGCGGAAAGCAGTCCAGTGCGGCTTCAAACAACTTCAATCACGTGGGCCTAAGGCAAACTCTTGTACAGGACTTGTGGATGGACGAAAGCCGTTCGCACCACTTTGAAACCACTGTTTGTTGGTATATTTGCAGGGGAATCATCAGAAACCAAGGCCTCTAGGGTTTCTTAGGTGCAGATGTTCATCCATTCACAGTACCAGAAACTCACAAAACTCAACCCCCCGATGATGTCCTCTTCGGAACATTATCCGTACTCGGTTGCTTTCTGCTCCCCTGCTAAAAGTTTTAAACTTTTAGCGGTTCACTACGGAAAACCCATTAGTTGGCAAAAAGCTATTCAGTCCTAACATCCCTGGGCAAAATGCACCAAAGTGTACACCATTCGGTGGTCCAGAGTTTCATCCATTCACAGCAGTACCATAAACCAACAAAAAAAACGATGCGGACCCAACAAAAAAATCGATGCGGACTTTCCGATGGCCGCCATTCGGCCGCCAAAAAAATCCCTGTCCACTCTGCCTTGATGAAGCCGCAGGTGCCCGCGTTCGCCTCCTCGTGGCCCACGTTGCTCTTCGCGGAGGCGTGCAGGATGGGGTTGGACCGCTTGTTGAACCTCAACGAATCAGAGGTCGGTCTGGATTTAGGGTGGGGAACTGAAATGAAACTGAGAGGGAAATGAAAGGGAAGGGGAAAGGAAAGGGGAAATAAGACGTGAAAGGAACATGAAGCAGAAATAAGGGGAACAACAGGGAAATGATCAGAACATTGTGAGGAAATGAAGGGGACATGAGGGATTTTGTTGAGGTTTTGGCTGGGAGCTGGGGGTGAGAGTTGGAGGGTCGGAGGTTAGAGAAGTCAGAGGTCAGAGGTCAGGGTCTCACAGCTTTGACTTACAGGAACATCTACAGGGAAATGGCACCCAAACACCCTGTAAGTCAGCTGCTTTTTCTGTAGAGTTTCCTGTAACCCAAACCTTTGACTGTCGTTTTGCCAGCTCTAGACGCTTTTGGTCGGAGGTCGGCAAACGAGGGGCGTTCTACACAATGGGCCCGCCAACCAAACATAAAATCACACTTCAACCCCTTGGTGAGCTTTTTCAGAGTTCCCCTTCCAAAAATACGAAACCGAAAATGCGATCCGAAATTCGAACCTCCAATTGGTCCTGAACCAACACACGAACGAATGCATGCCAAATCAAGCCGGACAGAGCATCCTCCCCTTCTCCCCCTCCTTTTTCTCCGCTCAACCCTAAAGTACAGAGGTTGCCTTTCGTTTTTCGTATGAAGCGCTGGAACAGAAGCTGCTGGACATGACAGGGGTGGAAATAAATAAAGTACCGGGGTTGCCTTTGGTTTTTTGCATGAAGCAAATATGGCTTTCTCACCACATTGGAGCCCGCCCCCTACCCCCTGACTCACCCGACTCACCCCCGTGACTCGACTCACCCGACATGACGTCGGGGCCCAGGCTGCACGCTCTTCATGGCCCCGATCTCGATGGGATCCCCCAGCGCCGTCCCCGTGCCGTGGCACTCCCCGATCTGCACCTCCGAGCCGACCGGCGACCGGGCGGACGTCACGGAACTTTTGGCCACCTGGAGGTGTCGTGGTTCCGTTCTTCTCTGTTTTGTGGGGGGCGGGGGGAGATTGGTTTAAAGGGAAAACAAAAGGTGTCCCTTGCCATTTGGGGGGGGGGGGTTTTCTTCTTCATTTGTTTTTTGGGGGAGATAAGCCAAAAGGTTTCCCTTGCCATTTCGGGGGGGGTGCCCCTTTGTGAGACCCCGCCTGTGGATTGCCATGGTTCTTGGTAGTTGCCAGTGGCCACTATAACTTCCAGTGCGTTTCCAGTGGAGCACAAGGGAAGGGGCACCCAGTTTTTGGTACCTCTAGGCTTCCCCCTCTGCGACAAAGAGCTGTGGGCCAGCCCAGCCAGGCAACCGCGCGCACTGGCGCGAACGCATGGAGTCACTGAGATTGGGCTGAACGGAGGTGCGAGGCAAGTCTTTGCCCGAAAAAATCGGGGGGGGGGTCTCTTCATTCATGAATATCGGCTAAAGCAGTGATACGTGGATAACTGTGGCAATTCTGGAGCTAATACATGCGCTCGGACCCGACTTCGCAGGAGGGTTGAGTTTACCAGGGCTCTGCCTGGGGCAACGCCTTCGCCTCAAAGCCTCATGACCAGCTTGCCGAATGTCTTTCCCTCTTCGCTTGCTGGTGCTCAGCAGCAAATGAGAAATGGAATGGCCCTTTAAAACCATCAAACTGGTGGTTTCCTTCAAGGGAATCCATGGGTTCGTTCCCTCATTTTGTTACCTATCGCACCAGCAAGCTTCGCTTGCCGCTTGCTGTGCGAAACTCCCTTATGAGGAGTTTTTCGACGTGTGACAGTTCGCTTCACTTGCGGCGATCTGACGCGATGTCCCTTCCTTCAGTTGGTTCTCCTTTGATCCGCCAACGGACCTGCCAGGCCAAAGGAAACTGGCCCCTCTTGGCAGCTTCCATGCGGGCTTGCCCCTATTTGCAACGACCCCCAAACAACTACGTGGCTTCCCTTTGGCTTCCTTTTCCTCACCAACCCAAACAAAATCACATCCCAGGAGAAAAAAGGGAAAATAACAAAGAGAAACACAAACCACACACACACACCCAAGGGCAGCTGTCCAAACAAAAGTTCCCCCCCCCCCGACTGGCCGTGGCCGCACCCTTCACGATCCCAAGGCCGTTCGGGCCTCGCCGGGCTCCAGACGCGCTTCGGCCAAGGAGGAGCGGATGCACATCCTAAGAAGTCATCCAAAAGTCTTGCTGGACCTGGTCCCGAACCAGGGAAAAAAAGGGGGAGTCACCGTAACTTGTCCTTTTTGGTTTAAGTTGCCCAGATGAATTCACCGAAACCAGTTTCGTTTTGTTGGCCAGAACCCATGCTTAAGGGGAATTGTGAGGGTCCGCGTAGCTTCAAGGGAAACTGATTCTGACGACGCACCCAACAACCGGCCCATAACAAGTGAAAACGCAGTGCGGGAAACAGTTCCAGCCAGCCAGCCAGCCAGCCAACCAACCAACCAGCCAACCTGCCAACCAGCCAACCAACCACACAAATTCATTCCGGTCAAACCCATCTATGTCCAAACCAAACCGGCCAGTTCTTTCTCCGCCTTTCGCTTGGCAGCCGAGGTGCTGCTGCGAGGGGCCGTGGGGCGCCGTCAGGGAGGCGCTGCGGCCGTCCTCAAGTGGCACTCGCAGCCTCCAGTCATGGAAGATGACAGGAAGGTGGGAAGACTCTGGGAAAACTACTGGAAAATAATAGCATGGTGTGGGAGGAAGGTGTGGCAGGAAGGTGTGGTAGAAAGGTGTGGTAGGAAGGTGTGGGCGGAAGGTGTGGGAGGAAGGTGTGGGTGGAAGGTGGGGGAGGAAGGTGTGGGAGGAAGGTGTGGCAGGAAGGTGTGGCAGGAAGGTGTGGCAGGAAGGTGTGGGAGGAAGGTGTGGTAGGAAGGTGTGGGCGGAAGGTGTGGGAGGAAGGTGTGGGTGGAAGGTGTGGGAGGAAGGTGTGGGAGGAAGGTGTGGGAGGAAGGTGTGAGGAAGGTGTGGGAGGAAGGTGTGGCAGGAAGGTGTGGGAGGAAGGTGTGGGAGGAAGGTGTGGGAGGAAGGTGTGGCAGAGGAAGGTGTGGGAGGAAGGTGTGGGAGGAAGCTGTGGTAGGAAGGTGAAGTGTGGGAGGAAAGTGTGGCAGGAAGGTGTGGGAGGAAGGTGTGGGAGGAAGGTGTGGGAGGAAGGTGTGGCAGGAAGGTGTAAAAGACTGTGGGAGGAAGGCGTGGGAGGACGCTGTAGCAGAAAGGTGTTGAGGAAGGTGTGGGAGGAAGGTGTGGGAGAAAAGACTGTGGGAGGAAGGCGTGGCAGGACGGTGTAGCAGGAAGGTGTTGGAGGAAGGTGTGGCAGGAAGGTGTGGGAGGAAGGTGTGGGAGGAAGGTGTGAAAGACTGTGGGAGGAAGGTGTGGGAGGAAGGTGTGGGAGGAAGGTGTGGCAGGAAGGTGTGGGAGGAAGGTGGGTGGAAGGTGGGGGAGGAAGGTGTGGGTGGAAGGTGGGGGAGGAAGGTGTGGGAGGAAGGTGTGGGAGGAAGGTGTGGCAGGAAGGGCTTGAGGGGCATGGCTGTGTATCAGCCACAATGCAGCCCAAATAATCTCATCACAAGGCGCAAAAAGCCATGGGGCTCTTTGTTCCCTGCCTTTGCGCTAGGCGGCGATCGACTCCTATGTGTTCTTCCTCGAAGTGATCTGGGCGGGGAGCGATGCCCTAAACACGCTCACTTTTTTCACTGCCAGAGTACTACCAGCAAGCTTTAAGGTTGTACGTTTACTGTACGTTCACGTTTGAGCCGCAAGCTTAAAGCCAAAGAATGCTACTAGCAAGCGCTTCTCGTTTTCAAGGGCTGTCCTCGTGAAGGCTTCTCCTCTTGAAAGCTTGGCTTTTTTGGCAATACGGTCACATCCGCTGCAAACCAGGAAGGTAAGGTGAACACTCCTAGCGGCTTCACCTTCTTCTTGGGAGAGGAAAGAATACAAAACAGTTTTCACCTTATACTTTTGGCCTGGTGTGGCTCCACGGCTGGTGCTTGTGGTGGTTGCCAGCAAAGAATAGGGTGATAAGTATCAACCTTCTAATTAGTAAAACCATCAAAATTATCAGGCGGACAATGTGGGAGAGAAATCACCCACTACTCACACCTTCCTGCCACACCTTCTTCCCACACCTTCCTCCCACACCTTCCTGCCACACCTTCCTCCCACACCTTCCTCCCACACCTTCCTCCAGCACCTTCCTGCCGCACCGTCCTCCCACACCTTCCTCCCACAAAGCTCTTGGACTTGTCATGTGCGTGGTAGTGCCGGAGACTGGTCCCAGGCTCATGCCCCACGAATAGCTGCAAGGACCGCATCTGCAGGGACCAGAGATACAGACATAAACTTAATCCTTTCCTCAAACAAAGGTGAAAACACCACAAATAAGGTGATGAATGCCCACACTCATCCCCTAATTTCGGGACAAATAAGGTGTGAACCAAACGAGGAATCGACACGATCTCAGGGTCCTGAACCAGATGCACTTCGACGGCGCCTGGTGTCTGTGGAGGTGGCCTTCACAACCTTGTTGACACCCTTCCGGAACACATCGTCCGAGATCCCGAAGAACGGGGCAATCTCGATGCACGAATCCTCAGCCGGAGGGATCAGCTCAGGCCCAGTAGGTGGGAGCTTCAGGTATTCCATGAGGACCGGGAAATCGGTCTTCATGTATGAGGAGAACTCCAACGACCACGCCTTGGACAAGTGCTTGCAAAGTACCGCGTGAAGCTTCAAAACCGGAACTGCCCAGCATTCAAAAAGCAGTCCGAAACAGTTCGAAGCATGTCTGAAGCAGCCCGGAAGTGCCTCAAGCCACCACAGGACCATTTGAGCAAGTTACCCAACTACGATTACTACTACGATTGCTACTTATATGATTTCTACCACTACTACTGCTACTGCTACTACTACTACTACTACTACTACTGCTACTACTACTACTACTACTACTACTACTACTACTACTAGTACTACTACTACTACTACTACTACTACTACTACTACTACTACTACTACTACTACTACTACTACTACTACTACTACTACACACTAGCCCGTCAGACGGGCGCCCGTCAGACGGGCGCCCGTCGGACGCTCGCCCGACGACGGGCGCCCGTCGGACGGGCGCGCCCGTCCGTCCGTCCAACAGTACCGTTGTTATTACTATTGCTATTGCTACACTGATTATTCATGAACTACAGCAACTACTACTACTACTATTAATACAACTAGTGCTAGTACTTATACTACTACTACTACTACTACTACTACTACTACTACTACTACTACTACTACTACTACTACTACTACTACTACTACTACTACTACTACTACTACTACTATTACGACAAGAGACAGGGGCGCCGCGTCAAGCTTCAAAACCAGAACTGCTCAAAACAGTTCGAGACATGTCTGCGAAGTGCCTCAAGCCACCACAGGACCATTTGAGCAAGTTACCCAACTACGATTACTATTACGATTGCTACTACTATTATTTCTACCACTACTACTGCTACTACTATTATTTTTACTACTCCTACTATTACTATTATTACTATCATTACTATCATTACTAGAAGTATTACTACTACGACTACAACTACTTCTATTATTATTACTACTACTACACTTATTATTACCACCACTGCCTAGCCATACGGCGGGCTTTTCCATTCTTCCTTGGCGCCACCCCCTGAGGAACGTAGAAATATTTCTCTGCGTCCTCATCGAGCTGATGTCGAAAGAGGTGGAAAAGGAAGCCGTTTACACCAAACGCCGAAGAATAAGGCGAAGAAGGAAAAGTACCAGTTGGTTAAGGCACGAATTTCTCGTGCAAAGTCCCAACCCTCTCGTTGGTCTGGAGTATGGCACTCCATCCCAACCCGAACGCCCGGTACTTGGCCAAACGGGCCGTCATGTACCGGCGCTCGTTCTCTTGAAGGGGTCTCCTGTTTGCTGAAGGGCTGTCCTTGTGAAGGCTTCTCCCTTTTGAAGAAGTTTTCTGTTGAAGGGCTGTCCTTGTGAAGGGGTCTCCTGTTGAAAGGGTCTCCCTTTGAAGGGGTCTCCTGTTGAAAGGGATTTTCTTTGAAGGGGGTTCCTTGTGAATACTTTTTCACCTTGTACTTTTGCATCGTGGGATTGCTGCGTTTCTCACCTTGTTCTATCGTGTTTTGTTCATGTTTTTTTACACAAAAAGAAGAAGGTGAAAACAACAGAAAAACCAAAATGCTATGTTACAAGAACAGTAAGGTGATGGAAATAAAGAGAATAAGGTGGAAAAGCAGGAGAGGTAGGTGATAAATCAAGAAGACGCATGAAAAAAAGAAGAAAAAGCAATGATAAGGTGATTGCGTTGGAACCTTTACGAACCTTACCACTTTAGTAGTATGTGGGAGGAAGGTGTGGCAGGAAGGTGTGAGAGGAAGGTGTGGCAGGAAGGTGTGGGAGGAAGGTGGGGGAGGAAGGTGCGGCAGGAAGGTGTGGGAGGAAGGTGTGGCAGGAAGGTGTGGCAGGAAGGTGTGGCAGGAAGGTGTGGGAGGAAGGTGTGGAAGGAAGCTGTGGGAGGAAGGTGTGGCAGAGGAAGGTGTCTGAAGGTGTGGGAGGAAGGTGTGGGAGGAAGGTGTGGGAGGAAGGTGTGGGAGGAAGGTGTGGCAGAGGAAGGTGTGGCAGAGGAAGGTGTGGGAGGAAGGTGTGGGAGGAAGGTGTGTGGCAGGAAGGTGTGGGAGGAAGGTGTGGCAGGAAGGTGTGGGAGGAAGGTGTGGGAGGAGGGTTACCAACCGCTTAGCTAGCTTGCACGTGGCTGCCAACAGAGTTTCTAAAAGAGTTGCTAACAAGTACAACATCCCTGTTCTGGTCTCATGATTCTATCAGTACTAGTGTCGAAGCTACCCAAGTCGTGGGTTAAAAGGGAACAACCATTCCACTTTCTGACTTTGACCGCCGGAAATGGTCATCTTGCTGGTTCTCAGAAGGGAATGAGTTGGAATGACCCCAACAAAAACAATCCATCCTATTCTTTCCCAGGGAATCCCCGAAACCGGGTCATTCCCAAAACCCGAACCCTGGGTCATTCCCCACCTCGGGCACCAGGTCAGTTTGACCTTTGACACCAGCTCTTGGGAAAGACCTTTTCAGCTTCCATAAATTTTGGGCGCACCGACCCCAAATGAGAGTTAGGCCCAGTCATAGAATGTCTATCTTATTTCTCGCTTCGCTCTGAGTCGCTTCGCTCTCAGTCACCTAAGTTAACTGGAAAAAATGTATCCTACTGTGGATGGACAACATCCTGCACCACCTTTAAAAAAAAACTGGAAGTATGATTCCCCTGTAAATACGAACAATGGTTTCCGGTGAATTGAAAGTGGTGCAGGAGTTCAAGTCCATCCACAGTATCATAGCCTGTCATAGCCTTTGGAAATCACTTTTTAAAGTCCTAACATCCAAAAAACAAATAAAAAATAAACAAAAACTTTAAGAACCAAAAAAAAAACCTCTGTCCTGGTTGGCGCAGCTGCCCATGAGGATCGCCAAGGACCGCTCGCCCGCGGCCCGCTCCCCGTCGTTCTCCGCGGCTAAGTGCACCGCGCAGCAGCCCTGAGATCAAATTTGGGTACCCTCCAGGTGGTCGGTGTTTCCTTTCGCGATGTTGATGTTGCAAGTGGAGCAAAAAAAAAATATTGGCAGTCAAGTGGTTGAATTCCTCACTAGACCACAATCAGCAAACATGTAAAAAATCTTTCCCAACAACAACCATGCTTTGGGCGGCTTTTTCAAAACATCCCAAAAAGTTGGGCTCGCTATCTGATATGTGTCCACTTGGTGTACAGGTAGGAGGTTCGGAGCTACGAATGCTTATATACCACCAATATCAGCGAGTGTATGGCAGTTGAAGAACCACTTTTTAAGTGGAAAAATAATATCCATACCTCCAATACCTGAAAATACCTTTGACATTCCCTTGGCAAAGTTGTTTGCGTGTAGCTTGGATCTTGGTTGGGCTTGGGTTGGGTTTAGGTTGGCTGACCAGGGTTCAAGTAGATGGTACAAACAACCCCCCCGTTTGGGTTGTCTGTTTTTTTTGGAGCTGGTCCCCCTTCTTTTGTGGGGTTTGAAGGGAAACCAAAAGGAATGGATTCAACCTTATGTACTGTACAATTGTTTCACCACTTGAACGACCTCCTTCTGGTTTCCCCGAAACAGAATCTGGTCATGTTCGCAATTTTGGCCGAACTTTCCCGAACGCCATCCGTTTCGGCGTTTCGTGGAGCCGAGCCAAAAGCGGGAGGGAGGGGGGTGGAACAAAAAATCAGGGTCGCCAAGAACATTGGAGTTTCCCCCAGAATGATTGGAAAGCCCCTTCTTCCCCCCCCCCCCCCCCGCCCCCGAATTTCCCAACAAAAAAACTGGAAACCCCAAGCAGCTATGAGAACCCCAGCCGCTCGCCTCGCCCCGGATGAAGCCATCAGCTCCTACGTCAAAGGTAAAGGCGCGGCCCTTGTAGGAGAGCATCGTGGCGGCGCACTCCCCGATCCAAGCGCCTGCCCAAAGAAACGAGGGCTGGGTGGTGGTGATGGGTAGGGGGGGGATCCAGTGGGAACCTGAAAAAACCCAGAAAACATGCATGTACCCAAGATCCAGTGGCTCAAAAACATGTACCAAAATGGCATCTTGGTAAATGGAAGGCTAAAACCTGCGTGTCACCCTGGCTGCTTAATTTTGAGCCACACCCAAATGAGGCCTGAATGGTGGTGATGGGTTGGTTGGGGATCCAGTGGGGACCTGAAAAATCCCAGAAAACTTGGGGGGGAGGCTTGAATAAAGCCTATCTTGGGTGGGTCCAAGGAAAAGCCCTCCATAGACTTTACCGCTTCGCAGTGACACCCCGGAATCAAGTCAAGGTGGCGCGACACTTTAAACACAAACACGCACACATCAATGACCTGAGCAAGGCAACACTCCAAGCGGCCCAAACCTCGTTGAGCTCCAGATCCGTCCAGTTTAGAGGGGACGCCGCAAAACCCTGTCAGCATGTCCTTGCCACAAAACCGGCAGCAGGAGTTTCCAAGCAAACACCAAACAAACGCAAACGCGTTTCAAAAACAAAAGGAATCTCCAGCCCTCAACTGAAACGGTTGGTTCAATTTGGAATCTTCGGTGCCTCGAAAAGCAAAAGCGATAATGAGGTGTCTCTCCCCACAAGCTTTGGCCTCGCCCGAATCCATGTGGCGCACCTGGGTGAAGCATCACTAGGACGCCCATGCAGACGGCATACTTCAGCTGCGCCTGGTACTTCATGTTGTCCTCACCGTGGTCTTTTTTGAGGCGGACCATCGGCTCCCAAAAAAAGAGAAAAAAGACGGGTCCAGGTGTGTGGCTGCCTGGTTCCCCCGTGGTGGTTGCCTGGTCGCCCTTCAAACTCAACCACTCAAAACAGGGGTGTTGATTCTGAGTTGTTGGGCCTCGTACAGTATTGGGTTTTGGTTCAGGCCAAACATGGTTTGTAGAACTGGAATGTTTTGTTTGTTTTTTTTATTCGGACGCTCAGTACCCTTCTTGGGGTTGGTTGTAGAGGGGGGTTTTAATGGGCGAATCAAGGGGGGGCCTGAACCCATTTCGGGGTCCATATGCTATTTGCCTGGTCGCCTTTCAACACGAACCAATCATCTAAACAAGGGGTGTTTGGCGGCTGGGAAATCTCTGCTCAAAAAGCATTGTAGGGGAGCAGGATGCGGACAGGATCTGTGGTGAATTGGTCTGCCTTTTAAGGAGTTATGGCTTACTCAGTTTACTGCGCAATTCGGACAGCAAAGCACAGATTCTGGCACCATTCAAAAAACTTGCGCCACTTCACCCCATAGCTTGCAAGCGGCTGGCAACCATTGACTGTGCCGGACACTGGCCATCGGTATGCTGTCCGAGCGGATCTTTGCTTTGTTAACAGCCACGGAAGCCCGCCGTGTGGTCAAGTGAAGGCAATGACAAGGAATGCCATTGCAGCTGGCGCTCGAAGCATTTCGTTTCGCAGCCATCTATTGCCAACTGATGGCCATTTGCCACATCTCGAGTCAACTCAACCTTAGGTTCACCCCTCAAAGTGGCAAGCACAACCGGAGCTTCCCAAGAATAACGCTAGTTTGCGAACAGGAACCTTCAGGATTGGCTGATTCAGTTGCTAGAAGTGGTCACCATAACCTTGCCTTGGTGGCTGTAAAGTAATAAAAAAAAAAACAAAAAAAAAACTCAATGCTCACAGTCGCCTAAAACAAGACACCCGCAAAATCAGAGTGCCTACAGGGCTCTGCTTTCTTGGACACGCGACCTGGTCCCCGGCCTCGTTCAGCGGGGCGATCTTCTCGCCAATCCGCACGTTCCGCCTGGAGAAAAAAATGGGAAAAAACGCAGATCCGCGCCGAGGATTGGTTTGAAACAACACAAGTGGCTGTGGCTCAAAAAACCGGAATTCCAAAATGGAAGCTGGTAAGAGGAAACATGGACCAAAACCTGCGTAACCCCTCCTGTTTAATTTTGAGCCACACCCAATTATTCCCGGGGAAACTTCTGAAAATGGCCCCAGGGCGGAGGGCGCGGCGCTCCGGTCGCTGATGGAGAAGCACCAGGGCCCGCTGGCACCGATGTGGTGATGCCAGAGACCGAGTTTCAGATCTACGAGGAGGTGGTGGAGCAGAGTCGCTGCTTCGGGGCTTGCCGGGCGACGCCCATGCTGTGGCGGCTTCCTGGAGTTCGAGGATGTGGCTTGCGATGAAGGAATGAAGCACATCATGAAGCTGCTCAGCAGGGAGCACTTTTGCCCCGCATTTCAACAGGAGTTTACCGTGTGCTGTTGAAGCAGCGGTGTATGGGCCTGTACTTGGTCCGCATGGAGAGCAACTTCAACAAGCTCCGGAAGGAGGGTGTGAGAAGGCAGATGCTTTAGGAAGCTCGACAAAGTTCTGAAGCAGCCCCAAGTCGCTTTCTACCCAGCAAATGCTTGAAAATGAGGAGGCGGATGAGCGCGGAGTTTGAGAGTGGTGATGGCGAGAACTATGTGTACCTCCAAGAAAGTGACTTGGATCAGGTCTTCGAGAAGTCCTACTTGCCCCCACCGACGGTGGTGGAGTAGCACTGGCGGAACTCTTTGCGCCGAAGAGCTCGAGGCCCATCTCGGGCTCCAGCGTGCTGACCGTGGCGGCGCCGTGGTTCAGTCAACTTGCGTTGGCGTCACACCCTTGTCAGCTTCCGGATACAACGGCTTGGATTTCGTTTTAGCTGGTTGGGCCCGTGCACGTTCTTGTTGTTGAAGAACAATGATGCTAGGGAGTCGCCATGGCCGACATAGATGGCTTGTTGATGTTCGGCGACTTTCTATTCTTTGAAGAGGTTGGCCGGCTGGCCAGCTGCCGACGGAAAGAGGCTTTGGCAACAAGGCGACCGGACATGGAGAAGTTTGTGAGGGAGAGGCTTGACTTGATCGAGATCAAGACTGAGAGGATGTTGGTGCCTGCAGCTTGGAGCTGAATCAGTTGGTGAGAACGGACGGCTTTGAAATCAGAGAGTCGGGAGAAGAGGTGAAGAAAAGGGGCTACATAGCCTTGACCAACAAAAACAGCAATGAACAGCTTCGCAATGCCTTGGTTGCGGATGCTAAATCGCTCCAGGCTCCACGGCCAGCTTGCCCGAGCTGGTGACAGCTTCGAGAACTTGGGACTCCCAAGTTCGACGGGTGCATTGCGATCGTCGATCCCTTTGACACACAACGGCAACGGAGAAGCTCTCCAGAAGGTGCTCGTGAATGGATAAGCCGGCATGGAGAATTAAGTCGGCGCTTGGAGAGAAGGTCAACTGAGAGGCAAGAGGGGCGTAGCGCGAGCAAGCGCTAAGAGCGCATCTTCCATGTCACATAGCTGTCGTTTCGCGAGCAAGCGGCTCCGGCCAAGCCTGAGCACGAGCTCAAGATGAGAGAAGGTGCATTTGCCAAAGGGTTCGTTTGACACAAGCAATAATGGTTTCGGGGGCGGACTCCAACACTGATCACGAGCATCCTCCACTTGAAGTTTCGCGAAGTTTTGGGCATAGCCAGGACTCACTCACCTCACCCCTAGCTGCCTGACAGCTATGCATGTGGCTGGTCCCATCGGAAGCCAATCTCAGCTTGGCGTTGGTTTACTTTCGAAAGCGCAGAGATCTATCACTGATGGAGATCTGGCAAATTGTTGGAGATCCCATGTCCGTACCGCCCTGCGCTCCCCTCCCTTCCATTCCCAGATCGCACCAGCCTCCGAAAGAGAAGAAGAAGAAAGAAGAAAAAAGCAAGCAAGCAAGCGCGAATGCGCGCGCGAACGCGCGCGCGAGCGCGCGAGCGCGAGCGAAAACGCGCGAGCCACGGCCGGGGCCACCCCGGCCACCTCCCCGGGCCTCACCATCTGGTGGGCCGCCGCATTGGTCGCCACCAGGGAGGCAGAGCAGGCGGTGTCCACCGTGACGTTGGGCCCCGTGAGGCCTCGCTCGAGCGGTAGGAGGCGCAGAAGAAAAAATAAAATTACGCCACTTGGTTGGGGTCCAAGCTGGAAAAAGACGAGCCACATTGTCTTGGAGAAATCCACGTTTTCTGATCCCCTGCTTTTTAGCGACGAGAAAACTGTTGCTGTAGTGGGTTAGATTCGTATGAGGCCTGGAAGCCGCTGTTGGTCAACCTAAGGAAACTGCACAGGTGCTGTGTCTGGGCTGCCTTTTCTCTGATCCCCAACAAATACGCCACTTGGACCACTTCACATGAATGACCCGGAAGTAACCAAGACTTCAGAGGGCAATGAAACAGTTCCCGCAAGGAACAGAGCTTGACATTGAATCCTCATCCAACCTTGAAAAAGAGGAGCCACCCATATGGGTGTGAATTCGACTCTGGGCTGGCCTTTTTGCTGACGCCCTGCGAAAAGTGACAAACACTTTTAGTCGGTGAAATTTGGAAACCTAACCACTGAACCAACAAAAAAGCTGTCAAAGCTAAGGGGATGGCTGGAAGCCACCAAGTAATCAAGTAATTAGGGACCCTTTGGTGGACATCAACATTCGGCGCGGAAATTTACGTCCATCAACCACTTTTCAGAAAATTCTCCATTAAAATTCATAGCCAAATCGACGGAGGGCGTGGTCGAACAAGGAGTTGTCTCAAAAGCATGGACAATGCTCAACTGATTGGTTGGCCCTGCAGATGAAACATGAAACTGAAAAATCAAAGAAAAACACTTTTTGGGGGAACCTCCTTCTCTTGGGACACCCCCTCTTTTGGGTTCCATGTCAGTTTTAAGGAGACACAGCCCTGCTTCCTCACCCCTGGCAATCCGACCAAGTGATTGGGTGAGCTTCCCGAAAAGAAACGGCCGGCATTTGGAGGAACGACCAAACCGCAAAAACAAAAATGCCACGGGCAGTGAAGGTAGGGACAGGGACCTCAGAAACAAGCCGCACAGGCTTGACGGAAGCATGCATGGCTCACATGTGGGCGGGAAGTGTGCAATGCTCGCCAAACAATCTCCAGATGGCAGGGATGGGTGTGAAGATCGGTGGTGAGACCCAGAGTCACCATCACTATTGCACCGAAACTGTTCGTATGGCCATATACAGAACTAGATGTGACCAATTCGGGATGGCTATGCTGGCCGATTCAACTGCAGAGACAACGCTCGGTACCCCCTTTGTCAGCAGATCTTAGAGGATAATCCCGCTTTTTGTGGGTGTTTAACGGACATGTGCCATTTTGGGGTCCTGACCTTCGAAAAAGACGAGCCACCCATATTGCCCTCTCTCCAACTCTTCAGGAGACCATCTGTCCTTTTCTAGAGCCAAGCAGCCCAGCGTGTGGGAGAGTCGGGAGCAGGTCACAAAGCCGCTGTTGTTGGTCAACCTAAGGAAACGGCACAAGTGCTGTGTCTGGTGTCTGGGCTGCCCGTTTTCTGATCCCCGACCAAAGTGACTCTCACTTGTGGGTTAAATTCGGAAACCTAATCACTAAACCAACTAAAAAGCTTAAAATAGAAGCTACGGAACCGGATGGCTGGGAGCCATCAAGAGACCGATTCCCTCCCCAACATGTTGATCAAATTAGACTGCTTCCCTCTTGGAAAACGAGTTTGTGAGCGCTTCCTTGGTGGGAGACATAAAAACCTCATTGCCCAGCCGGAGCTCGCAAATGCCTAGCGGGCACTGCCCCGCGCAGTTCGGGCCTTCGAGCTCTGCCCCTTCCACGACTCAAGCAGAACCACCCACCACTTTCGGGCCGGGGGCCTTCCGATTTTGTTTTCGTTCTTCTCCCACGATTTTGGAAGCAATGCCTCTTGGAGTGAAGCGCCACACATCGGAGCCAAACCGGTTTCCGCGGCAAGGCGCGCAAAAAGCTTTGACCGCTGAACGGGCTGAAATGGTCACTTTCAATGATCACTTTCACAAGGTGCAAGGGGTCGCAGTAAAGAAGCATAGATCGCTTATCCTTGAAAGCCTGTTTGCTGAACTTGTCGCCAAACAGCTCAAAGGAAGTTGGCAAAGCTTCATCCTAGGATGAACGGAAGCATCCTGACCCGCGGAATACCAGCTGTCCCAGTTTGGGCCACACTGCCAGCAGGCTAGACAGGCTATCCTGAACCTTAGCCATATCTGACATGACTTGCCTCACGATGGGCTTTTGCAAGGCGTCATAGCTGCCTTGGGGGAAGGAATGGGAAAACCCACTCGCCCGGTGCGAAAAGCACCCCGGACAACAAATCCCACCACAAACAGTGACCACCAAATTCAAGCCCAAGTGCGAATCACGATTCAGCTTTCCCGACCTTGTTGTTTGTTTGACATGATCATCTTCAGATCCTACAACAACTTTCATTTGGTCAAAAATAGAAAATATATCCAACAAGGGAAAATGTCTAAAAACATATTCCTTTCAGCAAATGGATGGATTTCCTTTAACACCAACAAGGGTAAAAGAGTCAAACACAATTTCTTCCTTTCCGCACATCCTACAACCAGCCGTGGCCGCCAGAATGTATATGTATATATATATATGCTTTAAAAATACCCCCAAAAAAAAAACTTTCAGCGGCCGTGACCGCCCGCCAAGCCAAACGTCGAAAACCAAAACCAAACCCAAAGCCGCTTTCCCTTCCCCTCCGGGGCGCCAGTGGCGGTCCCGCTTCAGGTGGATCATGTTCCACTCGCTGCCCGAGTCCCCCATGTAGCTCCCAATGCGCTGGCCCCGCAACGTGGGCTTCGTCCAGCCCGCCTTCCACAGCACCTCGGCCGCGAGCGACCCGAGAAAAACCGGGAAGGAACGGGGAAAAGCCCGGAGCAGGGCTCCGAGGTTGGACCGGAAAACCGGGAAAAACCGGAGAAAAAAAAACACGGAAGGAACGGGAAGAAACGGAAGGACCGGAAGAACTGCAGCAAGGCGGTTGACATGACCACTGTGATACAACCTGCAGGGCGCCGAGGATGGCATGAATGAGTGATACAACAAATGTTGGCCCAAAGACAACCCAGAAGAGGGGATTCCCTTGACCCTACAACAAATCACGAATGAGTGAGACAAATCTTGCCCAAAAACAAACCCTCCAGAAGAGGGGATGCCCTTGTATCATGTGGGATAAACCCCGAGTGATCCCACAACCCGGGTCTGGAGGTAAGTATGCAACGTCCACAACCCATCGGAGGAGTGGGATGGAAACGAACATGGGCCCAGATGAAGTGAGAAAAAAAATCGAAACACTGAAAAACGCTCGAACAATGTTCATGGCTCCTCTTCAATCGGCTGACACCGAACCAATGGGCAAGTGAGAAATGCGAAACACTGAAAACGCTCCAACCGTAGGCGTCCTTTTTGGTTTTGGTTGTCTTGACAGAAAGCAGATGGTAGCTGAGAGCGGACAGTGGAACCGGAACCTTCGCCGAAGTCTTGCGTTTCCAAACATTTGGTGATTGAAAGACTCTGGCTAGGCGCTGTGGCAAAAAGGGGTCTACTGAGCCCTTCCGTTTTCTGCTAGAATAAAAGCAAGTGCTTGGCAAAGGAGCCTTCAACAAAAGCCAGCATTCGTTGCCGAGACCGCCTCCCTTTTGCACCCGACCATCTGGCAAAGGCAAAGGCACATCCCGCCATCCAACAGCCTGTTTTCTGACCAGCCTTGGCCAATGGGAGCAACTTTCTCTTGTCACTAGGTTCGTCTCTAATCGGAAACCCTATTGACTACAACTCCCAAATGAGTGGTTTCCCTCTGGCTTCCTTTGAAGGAGATCCCGAACCAACACACCGAAAAACTTGCGGTTGAAAAGCAGCGGCTCCAAACTGTTTGGAGCCACCCATAGATGACCCTCGTTTCGCGGGGGTTCTCCACCCCTGCTTCCCCCCAACTGCTCTGGATACCTTCAACTTCACACACTACCACAGGAGGCTCACCTTCAGGAGCCCCCAAAGGTGACCTTCCACACTCTCCACCCCTCGCCCTTCATACCCCTCCCTGCGATCGATCCGGGCGCCTCGTAGCCCACCTCCAGCACCCAGCGCTGGCTGGGCGCAATGGCCTGCGCCTCCTCGATGTCGATGCCGAAGAAGTCGTTGTCGAAGCCTGGCGCTGCGGCGCGAGGCGCTGAGGCGCATGGCTGGGATCCTTGGACCGCTTGTCTTTGCGGCTGGCGCCAAGTGCACTGGGTTCAAGCCACCGGCAGAATCGAAAGGCAAACCTGGCCACCAGCAATTGTCTCAATGGAGTGGATAGGCCAAAAGAAGGAATCAACCTTTTTGCTTATCGCTAAGATGGTCCGAACCCAAAGGATATGAAGTCCAGGAACTCAGGAAGTGAGTTATTTTACCGAAGGCATCATCCAAATTGGGTCCCAAGGCCGTTCTTCTTTGATGGGAATCGGTTGAATTTGAGGGGGAGGGGAGGGGGGCCTTCTGCTGTCTTCCGTGATGGGAATCAACTGCAATGGGTCAAAGTCGTTGGTTGGCATCACCATGGACCATGGGGTGTCCATCAAAATTCACAGCCCGGAAACTCACCCGACACTCGCCCAACACTCGAGCATTGGAAAAAAAAGCAAGCACTGAGCCACACATGTTCCCGTCTCATTCTTGCGCAAGGGATCCGCTCAACCGTCCGTCATCTCCGAAGCCTCCTAGCCTTAGGACCCCTCGAAAAACGCACGCCCGTCGCGCTCGCCTATGAGCTGTTCCTCGTTCACAAAGGAGCCTCAGCATGCAAAAAGCCGCGCCTTCGGGCGCCTTCGGAGAGGCGCGGGCGAGCACGTCTTGGGTAGGCAAGAAAGGAGACATGGGCGGGTCTTTGTGTAGGAAAATCGCCCCCTCCCCCCCCGCCCCCCCCCCCCCGCAACCCCAGAGGGAAACAAAAAAGATGGAAAAAACAGCCGTGGTGTTCCTTTTGTTTCCCCTTGAAAGCCACACAAAAGGGGAACCTGCAACAAATTTGACAGACCCAAATGTGCTCAGAGACACCTTTTGCAAGGCACAGGCCCCCATCACTCCCTTGCCAAGGCGCCATGGATGATATACGCCTTGCCTTTCAGTGGGGCGTCCCGATCTGGGCTATAGTACAGATCCTGGCAGCTCTCCATATCACGCGCGGCCCCGGCGCCCCTCCTTTAACCCCCCTCCCCCCAGGTGTTGGCAAAAAACCTTTAAAATTGGATCCCAGTGCCCAGTGCCCTTCCCAGAAGTAGTCTTAGGGGTACCCGCACTTCCATGTTGCCCTGTGCTTCTTGGGCTACTGTAAAAGCGCGAGGTCCAGCCTCTGAGGTGAAAAGCGAACCTTGAGGCCTCCGAGTTGGAACTGCAGCTTTCCAGGGGCGCTCTTGGCGTCACAGCAAGATCCTGTCACCCATAGAACACATCAAACTGTGTCAAATTGTCGAGCTGATGGCCCGGTTGTCCTGAAGGGTTGGGTGGCATGACGCACAAAAACCACCCGAGATCCTTTGCCATGAATGCCCAGTCCTTGTCAAAGCGCGTGATGGGGGGCTCCAGCAGCGTGTCGGAGCCTGCTGTAAAGAGCCTCGGCGCCATCCCAACGCTCTCGCATGGTTTTGCCTTCTGCTCTAGATGCTTGGGGCCCCTGTGGTTTCGGGCCAAGGTTCCTTTCAAAGAGGATCGTCCATGTGCATGTATATATATATATATATCCCCCCTTGAAATACTCAGGTTTTTGGACACAACTGAGGTTTTTGGCCAGACTGGGGGTAACAAATGCCTTGAGACTCTGGAATGAACTGAACACTCAACTCCATGCAAATTCTAACCAAGCAGAAGTTAAGCTCAACGTTGATTAGGAGTTGCGAGTTGTGTGACCGTCACATTGGCGTGCGCGAAGTGCACTGAAAGTCACATTGGAGTATGCAAAGTGCAATTTGCCAGCTCCAGCTCAAAAAACACAACTGTTCAGTAAAGGAGTAGTGCGCAAAGTATGTTTTGGCAGCTTCAACGCGCCTGTAGCAGCCCTATTATTTGTTGTTTATTATTTTTGTTTGGCAGCGAAATTCTGCAAAACATCAAGTCGGGGAAAAGGAACTCATTCCTAATTCATGTCCTTGCGCAGTTGCATTTACATGTTAACTCGAGTGTTGTGCATAATTCCTGACGTGCTAGTTCAGTCTAATTGAAACATATGTTGCAAAGCAACTATCCCACGTGTGTGTGTGTGTGTTGCTTGTCTAAGTTGGTTCCATCATCGCCACTAACAACTATTGAAATTCAAGTAAGGGAAGAACATCCAGTTAAAAAAACAACTTTCGAGTTCAAACCAAATTCAAGTTTACTCGTTTGCAGTCTCTTGTGCATTTCAAAAATCAACTGGATCAGAAGATAGCTATTGTCATGGTCAAATGAATTTGGAACTAACTGGTATGTGCTAGCACGTGCTAGCACTTCCTGGATTGAAGATTGAAGATTGAAGATTCTCTGACAACTCTCTCTGGGATTCTTCAATCTTCAATCCAGGATGTGCTAGCACGTGCTAGCACATACCAGTTTGTCCTCAGGATGGATTGAAGATTTCCAGAACAAGTGGTCTGACAATCTTCAATCTTCAATCTTCAATCCAGGACGTGCTAGCACATCCTGGATTGCACTAAGTACCGATGCTAGAATTTAAGTCTAAAAAGGAGTGCATTTTTTAGAGCCTGATTTTAGAAGCTGGAACGTGTGTTTTGCATGCATTTTTACGGCCAAAATGTCAATTTCTGTCCAAAAACCTGAGTATTCCAGGGGGGGTGCCATATATATATATATATATGTATACATGGGTGTGGGTCAAAATTAAACCACCAGGGGACCGCCTGTTTTAGTCATGGGTTCAATTTAACAGGGTTGGATCTCACTGTGCTGGCATTGTTGCCGAGGGGCGTTCACGTGTGTGCAACCACATATGGCTGCGGGTCAAGAATGGGTACCCAAAATGGAAATCTTGGCCGAGTCAGGTCATTCACATGCATAGGTGTCTTTTTTTGGTTGGTGTGCTTGGAAGCAGATGGCCTTGGTAAATGAATAAACCACCAGGTAAACATGGGCCATGAATTTTCCACCAAACCAATCACAGGGGGTTGGTCCACCACAATATAACAAAGCAAGAGGCAGCCAGATACCATCCCAGAGGGCAGCCCGACCCAACAACAACTGCAGCCCGAGCCAAAGTGAACATGAGAGGCATCTACACCTATGAATATATATATATATACATACATATACGTGTGTGTATATACATAATATATATATATATATATCTATATATATATATATATATATATATTTTATTGTGTACATATCCGCTCCAAGTGAATGCCTTTCAGAGCCACAACTCCAAACACGTTTCCCATTCCCTGCTGGTGCAACCGCGCACTGCACTGTCTGCCACCTGCAAATTCCGCCTTGCCCCTTGAATCGATCCCCCAGCACGAATCCCCCGAACCTAAAGCGAAAAACACTTTAAGAACCTCCGAGCCGCGCGAAGCTCATGTCGCAGTTCTCCACTCCCGCGGGGAACCGCTCCGTCATGGACTTCACGTGGATCCGGTCGCAGCCGTCCGCCCCTCGCATGGATAGCCAGACAGCCAGACAGGACAAACAGGACAGACACAAACAGGACAGACAGACAAATAGATGGATAGATGGATAGATGGATAGATGGATAGATGGATAGATGGAAAGATGGATAGATGGATAGATGGATAGATGGAAAGATGGATAGATGGATAGATGGATAGATAGATAGATAGATTAGATAGATAGATAGATTACATAGATAGATAGATAGATAGATAGATTAGATAGATAGATTAGATAGATTAGATAGATAGATAGATTAGATAGATTAGATAGATTAGATAGATTAGATAGATTAGATAGATTAGATAGATTAGATAGATTAGATAGATTAGATAGATTAGATAGATTAGATAGATTAGATGGATTAGATAGATTAGATAGATCAGATCGATAGACAGATGGATAGATGGAAAGATCGATAGATAGATAGATAGATAGCTGGATAGATAGATAGATAGATAGATAGATAGATAGATAGATTAGATAGATAGATTAGATAGATAGGATTAGATTAGATTAGATTAGATTAGATTAGATTAGATTAGATTAGATAGATAGATAGATAGATAGACAGATAGATAGATAGATTAGATAGATAGATAGATAGATAGATAGATGGATGGATAGATGGATAGATGGATAGATGGATAGATGGATAGATGGATAGATGGATAGATGGATGGATAGATAGATGGATAGATAGAAAGATAGAAAGATTGAAAGATAGATACATAGATAGATAGATAGATTAGATAGATTAGATAGATTAGATAGATAGATAGATAGATAGATAGATAGATAGATAGATAGATGGATGGATAGATAGATAGATAGATAGATAGATTAGATAGATAGATAGATTAGATAGATAGATAGATTAGATAGATAGATTAGATAGATCAGATAGATCAGATAGATTAGATAGATTAGATAGATTAGATAGATTAGATAGATTAGATAGATTAGATAGATTAGATAGATTAGATTAGATAGATAGATAGATAGATAGATAGATACATACATAGATAGATAGATTAGATAGATAGGATTAGATTAGATTAGATTAGACTAGATTAGATTAGCTTGGATTAGATTAGATTAGATTAGATTAGATTGGATTAGATTAGATAGATTAGATAGAATAGATAGATTAGATTGATTAGATTGATTAGATAGATTAGATAGACTAGATAGATTAGATAGATTATATAGATTAGATAGATTAGATAGATAAGATAGATAAGATAGATAAGATAGATAAGATAGATAAGATAGATAAGATAGATAAGATAGATAAGATAGATAAGATAGATAAGATAGATAAGATAGATAAGATAGATAAGATAGATAAGATAGATAGATAGATAGATAGATAGATAGATAGATAGATAGATAGATAGATAGATAGATAGATAGATAGATAGATAGATAGATAGAGAGATAGATAGATAGATAGATAGATAGATAGATAGATACATACATAGATAGATAGATAGATAGATTAGATAGATAGGATTAGATTAGATTAGATTAGATTAGATTAGATTAGATTGGATTAGATTAGATTAGATTAGATTAGATTAGATAGATAGATATCGATCGATAGATAGATAGATAGATAGATAGATTAGATAGATTAGATAGATCAGATAGATAGATAGATGGATAGATGGATAGATATTGATAGATAGATGGATAGATGGATAGATAGATCGATAGATAAATAGATAGATAGCTGGATAGATAGATAGATAGATAGATAGATAGATAGATAGATTAGATAGATAGATAGATTAGATAGATAGATACATTAGATAGATAGATTAGATAGATAAATAGATTAGATAGATTAGATAGATTACATAGATTAGATAGATTAGATAGATTAGATAGATTAGATTAGATTAGATTAGATTAGATTAGATTAGATTAGATTAGATTAGATTAGATTAGATTAGATTAGATTAGATAGATAGATAGATAGACAGATAGATAGATAGATTAGATAGATTAGATAGATAGATAGATAGATAGATAGATAGATAGATAGATAGATAGATAGATAGATAGATAGATAGATAGATAGATAGATAGATAGATAGATAGATAGATAGATAGATAGATAGATACATACATAGATAGATAGATAGATAGATAGATTAGATAGATAGGATTAGATTAGATTAGATTAGATTAGATTAGATTAGATTGGATTAGATTAGATTAGATTAGATTGGATTAGATTAGATAGATTAGATAGAATAGATAGATTAGATTGATTAGATAGATTAGATAGATTAGATAGATTAGATAGATTAGATAGATAGATAGATAGATAGATAGATAGATAGATAGATAGATAGATAGATAGATAGATAGATAGATAGATAGATAGATAAATAGATAGATAGCTAGATAGATAGATAGATAAGATAAGATAAGATAAGATCAGATAAGATCAGATCAGATCAGACAAGATAAGATAAGATAAGAATAGATAGATAGATAGATAGATAGATAGATACATAGATAGATAGATAGATAGATGCATAAATAGATAGATAGATAGATTAGATTAGATTAGATTAGATTAGATTGGATTGGATTAGATTAGATAGATAGATAGGTGCATCGATACATAGATAGGGAGGTAGCTGGATAGATAGATAGAGAGAGAGAGCGAGAGTGCGAGAGAGCGCTGTTGGATCGATTTGCTTCCCAGAAAACTCGCTGCACCTCTCCCTCATAGCCAATTCTTTTCCTCGGCTCGCGTTCGGTTGCGTGGAAAAACGGTCCAGCTGCGGCTCTTTCTTCGTCCAACCAACATTTTGGAAGTTTTGAAAGTCAATTGGCTTGGGGAGAAATCAAAAGAGATTCTTGGTGACCACTTGGCACGCTCTGAACGAAGGCGTCCCTTGTCAATAAGCTCCGAGCGTCTCCTGACTGGCTCAAAGAAAATATCGCCAACCCCAAACCGCTCGGTCAACATATATGGCTGTAGGTCAAAACCAATGGTACCATTTTGGGGTAGGTGCACCACCCATTTTAGTCTATTTTTGTGGGGATTGGGATGTTCACTGGGGGAACGATTTGGCTTTTGACCCATGGCCATATCTCGCTCTGGAAAAACCGTCCAAAGCTCCCATTCGGTGGCCGGTTCCTGGGACTCCCATTTGCCCTTCGATGGCGATCCAACCTTTCTGGCCCCCAACACTCAGTCGCGAAATCTGCTCCCCTGCTACAAGTGAATAACTTTTGGTTCAATACCACAAAAACCCGGTAGTTGGCAAAAAAAAATTATGTTTTTTCAGTCCTAACATCCCTTGGCAAAATGCAACAAAGCCAACACCCGGCTTGGATCCTCGGCCGGGCCTGGGCACTTCGGCAGCTGCCGGAAGTGCAGCTCCTCTGCCTGACTGAAAAAACCACACGCAGAGTGGCCGCGTGTAAGAGGTCTGGGTTGCCCGTTGTCTGATCCTCGGCTAAAAGTAACTTGTGGGTTAGATTCGGAAACCCAACCACTAAACGTCTAAACGTCACTAAGCCAAGTAAGAACAGCCAAAACCTTCAGGAAACGGATGAACCGCCAGGAAGAGGTTCGCCTTTGGCACCCCGGACCTCGATTCAAGCTTTGGGCAAGGGGGTTCCCTTCCACCAACCTTGCACCCAGCGACCACCTTGACAGTTGTTCCGAGGAAGCACCCCGCCCCCATTCAGGCCAAGGAGGATCCAAAGAAAAAGGTCTTTCTGAAACCCTTACGTTCCATGCGCGGCGTGGCCGTGAACTTTGTCCATTTCTCTGGGGGCAAGAGCGAACGAGCACCCAAAAAAATCCACTCGCACTGAGCTCCCCTGCAAAAATTGGGTTGCTTTGGAGAGCCAACCAAAAAAGCCCGGAAGTGGCCCAAACCCCATTTGGAGTTGGAACACATGACGATCAAGTTTCAAAAAATGCAAAATAGTGTCCCTGTCCAGCATGTCCTGGCTGCAGTTTGGGCAGTTTCTAGCGCCGGACAGGCAGCGAGGCTCGAGAGTGAGAAACACTTCTTCTAAACCCCTGAAAGAAGAAAAGAAAAAGGAAGAAAAACAACTAAGCAGAAATCTCAGTAGGCCAGTTCCCAAATTGCCCCTGAGACCTGTGTCTGAACTCGGAGTTGTGATCTGGGAACCAGCTCGGGATTCGAAGCCAACATCTCTCCAACTCTGACATCGCGATGTGGACATGGCCGGCCCACCAGCTGGTTTTGTGGGAGGAAAGGTTGTCTTACTGTAGATGGACGAGATACATTTCGCACCACCTTTCGGAAACCCTGGATCCGGATTCCACTACCCTGTAAAAAAAAAAATCAACAAGCCATGGTTTCCCAATTTCAGCGGATCCCGGTCCCCATGAAAACCGAAGAAACTCGCCGTTTTCCCGTTGGGTGTTTAAAGGGAATGCTTCAACCACCGGTGTTCCACGCTGCGACACATCCGTCGAACCCCCAGGCGGCCTTGTCCATGAGCCAGGTCTGTAAGGCCAGGCAGTCGTCGTCGTCCGGAAGATACCTGAAACGATGCGATCGATCGGTGGACGTTTGGGGACCTGAGCCCGAGGCTTCTTCAGGTGTTTTTTCAGAAGAGTCCCCATGTCTGAAGGGGGAGGGGGAGGGGAGGGGGGGTTCGGATGGAAGTTGAAAACAAGGTGTCATGTTGGACTTTTTGTCGCCGTTCAAAAAAAGGGAAGCCCACATCAAGGGTGAGAATTGTAGCCGTTGAAGGCCTGCCTCTTGCTCTTGGATGCCCAAACAAAATGTTGCTTGTGCCTAGATCATGCCGAAGCTCTTGTGAAACTGATGTTCAAAAACAAAGGTCCACAGCGCGAAGCTACCACGTTTTTCTGGGTCCGCGTGGATGGAGAATCCTCCGCTTTGAAAAAAGAAAGCCAAAAGGCTCATTCCAACTCATTCCCTCGTCAGGGCCCTCCACGCGGCCCTGAAGGGCCTAACGGGCTTCGATTGAGCAGCTGGTAGAAGAAGCCTTGTAGGTTGCAAGGGGGAAGTTCCCAAGAAGCAATCCAGATTCTCTCCATGGCTTCCCGTTCCCCCTCTGAACCACGGCTTTGTTTCACCAGCTGGGTTCTCACTTAAGCTCTCATATCTATCCCGTTGGTCCCTGAGTCAGAACATCCGAAGGAATACCGATAAAAGGTAGTTCAAAAACAAGTGAACATGAAAGAGTTTTCCCTCTGCTCCTCTGCCCAAAAGAACGGGATTATGCACATTTGGCGAGCTTGACAAAAATTGGACCAAAAGGGGGAACTCCAAGGTAGCAAGGTCGATCTGAGCACATTCCTTCTTTTCATGGTAGACAAATTTGAACTCTGCTGGGGTTTACCATCGTTGGATCCCGAACGGACAAACAAAAAGGGCGTTCGGGATCTCGTGGCTCCCCCAGAGAATTCCACTGCTTGGGCTCTGTTAAATCCGGCCTGGCTGACCGTCTCAAATTCGGGAAGACCCGCTTTTCCCAAACCCCTTCAGCCCCGGACACTCAGGGTCTAGTTAGCAACCTTTTTCTTTTCGGGTGCTTAACGCTGTTTTTAGGCTAGGCCGCAAAAAAAGATCGACTCCAAGCCTCCATGCCTTCCCATCCAAAAATCCCCCGCCCCGCCTGTACTCCAGCATGTCATGCCGGAAGAGCAGCACCGCGCCGGGCAGCAGACGAAGCTTCGCCGGGCCCAGCTGTCGATGGCGGAAAAACCAAAACCGAGAGGTCTGGCTTGTTTTGGGGCTACAGAAGGTCTCAAATTAAGGGGCACCCCCCCAAAATGTCTGGGTCTCAAAATGTCTCAAAGTTGGGGTATGGTTCACATACCAGGTACCTCCCAGAACGTCTCCAGAACAGGGGCGTTTGAACCAAAAGCTGTCATTTGGCTTGAAGGGTACAGAAAGTTTCGGTTCGTTTGAAGGGAAAGCAAACGAGAATGTGCGACCGCGCTGGGCAACCTGAAACCCTGGGTGTGCCTCGCAGGTTGGGAAATCCCCTCGCCCGATTTATGGTGGTGCCTGCTTGAGGCATTTGCTTCGCTTTTTCCCCTGGAAAAACGAAGGTCTGCAGTGGCCCGCAAGCTGGAAACAAGCTCAAGCCAAGAAAAAACAAAGAAGAAAAAAGAAACCACCGCCATTTTGCCAAGCCAAAATTCCACGCAACCACGGGGGGGGGGGAGAAAAAAACAACGCCACCATCTTGCCACTGCTGATGAAACCAGCTCGCCATGTTCCACCTGCCCCCAGCTTTCAGCGGACTGCTCCTTCGCGCCTCGGAGCTCTTGGGCTTGAGCTCCAGCGTGCCCTTGCCCTCGGCCTCATAGAAGAGGCAGAGGCGGCGACCCGCCACCTCAGCGAGAGGAAACGCGCAGGTCGGAAATATGGAAGGGGAACATGGGGAGGAGGGGGAGGGGGAAAGAAGGGGGGGATCAAACATGGAGAGGAGTGGAATTGAAATATGGAAGGGGAAAATGGGAGGGAGGAGGGGAAGGGGCAAGGATCAAACATGGAGAGAAGAGTGGATTATGCCTCCTGCGAAAAGGAAGGGGATCAAACATGGAGAGAAGAGTGGAGTTGAATGCTTGAAAGAAAAGTCCTTGGGTCTTGGCATTCAAATGTGGAGTGGATCTGGACAGAATCCTTCTTGCAAAAAGTCTTGGAAATCTTCTAAGCTGGATTTCTGCGAACCCAAACTTTCAGATGGCAATATCCACTCCACATGCCAATCTAAATGCCAAAAACCGCGCGTGCGCGCCCAAGCTGATCTGAGAAACGCTGAAGAGACATGCTCAGGCTCAACAATGAATCGTGTGCGCACGAGGAGCTTTCAACCGCAGAGTAGCTGCAAGATCTTGGCTGCAATATGGCTGTGGGTCAAAACCAATGGTACCATTTCGGGGTAGGTGCACCACCCATGTTAGTCTATTTTTGTGGGGATTGGGATGTTGACTGGGGGTACGATTTGGATTTTGACCCATGGCCATATCTGTGACAAACGGCGCTGTGCACAAGCACCCCACTCACTCGACATCGTGGCTCTCAGCTTCCCTCGAAAAGGGTGGTTTGGTTGTTCGGCTCCACCAAAGCCAGGGATCCACATCCAAATCTAAACCCCCAATCCAAAAGAGTTCGGCTCTACAACTCTAAAAAATCCAGCCCAGGCGCCCACATCATGAACTCCTCGGGCATGCGCACGTCCCGCTCGTCCATGGGCCCGGCCTTGCCCACCAGACTCATGCCCGCCGCGGTGTGGGGCACCCGGAGGATGGTGCCCGTCTTGCCTTGCCTCAAAAAAATGAACGGACTCCGAATCGATCGGGTTCGAACAATCTCCATGTTGCATGCCTGGAAGACATGAGGCCCAGATTCCTTCAAGTCCAGAAACTCGAAAGAGGAAGCAAAGGCCGCTTCAACTCCCGGCCCAAAAGCTCGCGGAGACGCAAGCTAAGCATTCGAAGGTAGCTCCTCTGGTCCCTTCCCCCCCCTTTTCGCCCCCTAATTACCACAAGGGGGGGTGCCATTCATCGAGTTTCTTCCCCACAAAAAAGGGGGAGAAAATATGAAAAACCCTATAGATGTGGAGATCTCCAGGGGTCGAGCGACCCCCCCCCAATCGACCCGTTTCAGAGGGACCTGGTGGTTGAATTGCCTCCCGGTGTTGGGTCTCCAGACTTGGGACGGTTCCGAGCCGCAGCTTGGTCGCCCCGAAGGCCGCCGGGCTGTACGCCAGCAAGTCCACCAAGACGTCCAGATGGGCATTCAGCTCCTGGCCGCGCAAGAGAGAAAAAAAAAAAACGCCGCCTCTGGTGGGTGTGGTGGTTCGGTTTGGCGAAATGGGGTGGTGTCCCGGTTTCCCTCTACAAGAGAAGGGGGAAACATCCGCAACCGATCCAAACCACCAACCTGACGGGTGCCCTGAACCCTGCAGTTGACCCACTTTGGTTGGTGCCAAGCACCGGGGTACCCACGTTTGGTTTCATTGGGAAAACCCCAAAAGCCAACCACCTCAGGGGGATGCCCTATGTTGAGACAAACCCACGCCGAGAAAACAGATGCCGCGTGTGTTTGGCTCCACTGGAATGGTTGTACTCATGGCTCACTTTCATGCTGAGCTAAGCCTCTTGCTCCGGCCAGGCATAAGCAGCTTGGCAGATTGACATGGGCCGATCATCACGCCTTTCTCTCTTAAATATTCAAGATACTCACATCACCTTTTTCACCCAATCGATGAGGGGTCCTGAATTCAATCCAGAGCTTGGGCTTTTACCCCATGTTGTGCTTCCTAGGAGAACGCTGCATGTGGACTTATCTTCCGTTTGAGCTTCACTTTGACGCCAAGCTCTTGACCAGTGATACACAGTCAGATGAGTGAGCTTCCTTCAGGTGTCACTGGATTCCCTCTTGAAGGAAATGACTTTACTGGTGAGTTCCAACGAAAAAGCCACTTCAAGTCCCAAAAAGGGGGGGACTATTGAGGCTCGGTTGCTGTTGACCGCTCCGTAACAAGTGAATAGCTTGTTGTGGGTTCAACACGGAAAACCCAAAAGATGTCAACCAAAAAGTTAGAGTCTAAAGATCCAGTACCCAACAGCAATCAAGTTAACTACTGGTGGCCATTGAAATCGCCACTTTTGGAGGATCCAACAAGGAACTGGAAACTCCGCCCGTTTCAGGTGTTCCAGGAGAAATGGCCAAAATCACACAAGTTGTCCGGCTCAAAAAAGATGCGAATCATTCAACCAACACTTCTGAGGCCAAAATAAACGTCCGGTTCCAAACAAATGCAAAATAATTCAGCCAACACTTCTCAGGTCGAAAAATGTCCGGTTCAAACCAATGCGAATCATTCAACCAACAGTTCTGAGGCCAAAAAAAACGTCCGGTCCCAAACAAATGCAAAAATAATTCTGCCAACAGTTCTCAGGCCAAGAGGAAACGCAACAATAATTCAGCCGACAGCCGACAGCTCTCAGGTCCAAAAAGATGTCCGGTTCAAACAAATGCGAATCATTCAACCAACAGTTCTGAGGCCAAAAAAAAGTCCGGTTCCAAACAAATGCGAATCATTCAACCAACAGTTCTCATGTCCGGGGAGAAAGAAAAAAACAACGGCCCAGGTAATAATGATGAAAAGAAGAAGAAGAAAAAAACTGAGGGGTCCCTTCTGCTTTTGGGGGTACCTCTGGCCCCCAAGCCTTCAGGGCCGCGAAGTCCGGCGCCGCGTCGCGCCGGCTCTTCTTCGGGTCCTGGCCGCGGACGGGGCGGGACGGGGACCCGAATGGGCGCAGGCCTTTTTGAGGGGGAACCCGCAATGGGGCAGGCGTTTTTTGGGTAGATGGCTTGAAATGAACCCCCCCCTTTTTGGGTGGTTTTAAAAGAGGGGCTTTGTGTTTTTGTTGGTGGCGTCAGAGGCCTTGTTGGGTGGTTCTAAGGGCCATTTGTGGTTTCAAGGCCCTTTTTGGTGGCTTTAAAGGGGGAAACAAAAAGGACACCCTTTGCGCCGAACCGGGAACAACCTCCATTTTCAGACAAACCTAAACCATGACCAACCAAACCCTTGCCAAGGCATAGAGAGGCCTTAACTCAGAGGCGTTTTTTGCACATGATCATCTGACTGTTTACATCGCTTGATGGTTACACAGATACTGAGCTCTTTCAAAATGGCTGTGGCTCACAAAATGGCACCAAGAATTGAACCCAGGTAAATGGAACCAAGACTAAAACCTGCGTAACCCCAGCTGTGTAATGTTGAGCCACACCCAAGTGCGTATAATGCTCCAAACGGCGGGTCCACTTCTGAGGCCATCTTTTGCAAGGACCTAGGCCCAGATGCTCCCCTCCAAACTTGGAGAAACAGTGACACCCAGCCAACTATTGAGAATGATATCTATATATAAATATATTTATATTTATTTATTTATATATATATATATGTATGGTACCCCCCCCCCTGGAATACTCAGGTTTTTGGCCAGAAATTGACATTTTGGCTGTAAAAATGCATGCAAAACACACGTTCCAGCTTCTAAAAATTAGGCTCCAAAAATGCACTCCGTTTTAAACTTAAATTCTAGCATCGGTACTTAGGTCAATCCAGGATGTGCTAGCACGTGCTAGCACATCCCGGATTGAAGATTGAAGATTGAAGATTCTGAGACCACTTGTTCTGGAAATCTTCAATCCATCCTTAGGACAAACTGATATGTGCTAGCACGTGCTAGCACATCCTGGACTGAAGATTGAAGATTGAAGATTCTCTGACAACTCTCTCTGGGATTCTTCAATCTTCAATCTTCAATCCAAGATGTGCTAGCACGTGCTAGCACATATCAGTTTGTCCTAAGGATTGAAGATTTCCAGAACAAGTGGCCCGAGAATCTTCAATCTTCAATCTTCAATCCAGGATGTGCTAGCACGTGCTAGCACATCCCGGATTGAAGATTGAAGATTGAAGATTCTGAGACCACTTGTTCTGGAAATCTTCAATCCATCCTTAGGACAAACTGATATGTGCTAGCACGTGCTAGCACATCCTGGACTGAAGATTGAAGATTGAAGATTCTCTGACAACTCTCTCTGGGATTCTTCAATCTTCAATCTTCAATCCAAGATGTGCTAGCACGTGCTAGCACATATCAGTTTGTCCTAAGGATTGAAGATTTCCAGAACAAGTGGCCCGAGAATCTTCAATCTTCAATCTTCAATCCAGGATGTGCTAGCACGTGCTAGCACATCCTGGATTGCCCTAAGTACATATTTGGAGAATTTCAGAAAGACTTGTCAGAGAATCTTCAATCTTCAGATCCTGGCTTGCCCTAAGTGCAGATTTGAAGAACCTAAAAGGCATACCCGGAGCGCACGGTGTCGGAATCAAATTGTGGATGTGCACTTGCACTGCCAAGCACCTGCGCTTGGCCAGGGGGAAAAAATGTTGTTGACATCTTTACAGGTTTTTTTGTGGACTTGAGGGCTGGCCAGGATGGAAGGTTCTCAATAGAAAATATAGTAGATCTTCAATCTTCAATGCAGGGGGCAAAACCTTAATAAGTCTAGACTAAACTGTCAAGTTTTTAGGGGAGCTATCTTCTCCAGTTGATTATTGAAATCCACAAGAAACTCCAAACGAGTAAACTTGAATTTGGTTTGAACTCGAAAGCGTTTTAAACTGGATATCCTTCCCTTACTTGAATTTCAATACTTGTTATTGGCGATGATGGAACCAAGTTAGACAAGCAACACACACACATGGGATAGTTGCTTTGCAACATATGTTTCAATTAGACTGAACTGGCATGTACATGGAATTCTGCACAACACTCGAGTTAACATGAAAATGCAACTGCGCAAGGACGTAGGAATGAGTTCCTTTTCCCCAAGTTGATGATTTGCTGAATTTCGCTGCCAAACCGGGAGCGCACGTTGTCAGAATCAAATTGTGGATGTGCACTTGCACTGCCTGAATTTGGCCAGGGGGAAAAATGTTGTTGACATCTTTACAGGTGTTGTGTTGACTTGAGGGCTGGCCAGGATTGAAGTTCTCAATTCTCAATGGAAAATATAGTAGATCTTCAACCTTTAATGCAGAGGGCAAAACCTTAATGAGTCTAGAACAAACTGTCAAGTTTTTAGGGGACCAGGATTGAGGATGTTCTAAACATATGTTTGTGGAATCTTGTATTCTCGATCTTCGATCTAAGGCAACACGATCTGAGCAAATGCTGAAAAATGCGTTTTACAGCATTTATGCCAATAATAAGATCTATGATTGAAAGCACGTTCCAGGCATTGGCTTGGCTTAGTTCTTGCTTGGTTCAAACCACATGGAGTTCGATGAGGACAATAGCCATCTTCTCCAGTTGATTATTGAAATCCACAAGAAACTCCATACGAGTAAACTTGAATTTGGTTTGAACTCGAAAGCGTTTTAAACTGGATATCCTTCCCTTACTTGAATTTCAATACTTGTTATTGGCGATGATTGAACCAAGTTAGACAAGCAACACACACACACACATGGGATAGTTGCTTTGCAACATATGTTTCAAACAGATTGAACTAGCATGTACATGGAATTCTGCACAATACTCGAGTTAACACGAAAATGCAAATGCGCCAGGACATGAAGTAGGAATGAGTTCCTTTTCCCCAAGTTGATGATTTGAATTTCGCAGCCAAACAAAAATAAGAAACACACAATAGTAGAGCTGCTACAGGCGCATTGAGGCTGCCAAAGCATACTTCGCGCACTACTCTTGTACTGGACAGTTGTGCTTTTTGAGCTGGAGCTGCCAAAGTGAACTTTGCATACTCCAATGTGACTTAAAGTGCACTTCGCGCACGCCAATGTGACGGTCACACAACTCGCAACTCCTTCAACGTTGAGCTTAACTTCTGCTTGGTTGGAATTTGCATGGAGTTGAGCGTCCAGTCAGTTCATTTCAGAGTCGCTGGCCCAAAACCTGAGTATTTCAAGGGGGGGTAGCATATATATATATATATATACGTACGCATAACACTGAACCACAAACATGTACATACTAAATATACCAAAATTGAGAAGAAGAAAAAGAGACAGAGAGCGAATTACAAAAAACAACAACTATTCCAGGTGCTCCACTTGAATCCGGCTGAAACCCCACAATGTGTTGAGGCATGTTCGTGTAACTCGGCCCCGCGTCCAAGAAGGTCTCCTTTTTCGCTGGAGAACCACTGCCAGACCCCCCCCCCCACAAAAAAACAGCCCCCCCCAACAGAAGGAACCCTCTCAGCCCCGAATAGGCAGCGTGGACGCGAGGCTGAGCTGCTGACATCGAGAAACCAAACGAGCGTCGCGTGAGACAAACGAAACCATTCCACGCCTGCCGGCACAAATGGATGCGTCTCAAAATAGGGGACCCTTGGCCGCTTTTCCCTTTGAACCCACTCCAAAAAAAGTGCCATCAACAAAAACATGCACATATGAAGATGTGTCGAATTCCCCCAAGTAAGTCCAAGTTCCTCTGAAATCCTCTTACATCCCCATGCCAATCCGTCCCTTCAGACCTGTCCAAGAAGAAAAAAAAGAGGACGAAACACCCCCCAAAGGGACGAGGCCCTTCTTGGTGGCTTTACAAGAAAAAAACAAAAGGACACCCGTTGCGCCAAACCGGGAACAACCTCCATTTTGAGACAAACCTAAACCACGACCAACCAAAACCTTGGAGAAAAAAAAAGAGAGAAACACCCCGCCCAAAGCCGTTAAAGGGGCGCGACACTTCCTCCAATCTCACGCCTCCTTCACCGGCTCTGTCTCGGACTCGGAGCCGTAGAGATCTGGATCAAACCAGCTCCTGAGTCCGGCGAAAGGGTTCTGGAACCGAACCCCACAGCTTGCTGATGCGATAGGCAGGTTGGAAAACCTGCTGAGAAACACCACTTGTTGGGGATATCAACAAAGTCAGAAATGCGGCTGCGGGGATCAACCAGCAAGATTACCATTTCTGGAGGATATCAATACAGTCAGAAAATGGAAATGGTGGGGGAGGGAATCAAACTGACTTGCTGCGAGAGGTGGGGAATGACAACGAGTCATTCTGTTGGCCGGTTTGGGGGATTCTCCAGCAAACCATGGGGGATGGTTTTTTCTCGGGGTGATTCCACCAGCCAGAAGCAAGCTACACCTCCTGAAATCAGAAAATATCGAGACCGCTTGGCATCCTGTTTGCAAGCTGAGCTCGCTTGGCCTCGCTTCATTGGATCAAGTCTAAGATCCCTGGGTGCTCGAGCGAATCTGATTCATGAAAAATCCGAAAATTTGGCCTGCCCTCTCTGGGAACAGCCGGTTCAACCTTCTAAGGCCCCAAGCATGTTGTCGCAGGCTGAACTACCACAGATCACCTCTACTCACGTACTTACGTCAATCTGTGAAATGGCCAGCCCCGGACACAAGTCACCTCGCACTTCTTTCCACCTCACAGCCCATCTGTTGATCTGAGTCCAGGCATTTGCTCCCAGAGTGCAACCATCCGCGCTTGCTCCAACTCACAAACACCGGGCCATATGACAAAAAGTGTCTGTCACACGCGAAGGCCGACTGAGATGCTCCACGGTCAGTTGCCGGTCAGGCGCAACACCAGCGTCGGCTAATGTGTGGCTCTCACCTCCGTCCAATACGCTTTCCGCCTTTTCAGGGGTGTCTGGCTTCTTCGCCTCCGATCAGAGATTTACCTCGGGATCGGACCCCCGCCCTCTTTGGGGGGCCGAGGGCTTTTCCAGGGCCGAGCCGCGACTCCGACTTGGCGTCATCTGCAGCCTCTTTGGACGGCTCTTCGATCGCCTCAGCCTGCATGTAAACCCCAGGCTCGGGCCAGCCAACTCTTCAAACATGTCTATATAAATACCTAGCCTCCGGGCCCTTCAAAAAGGAAAATAACCATCAAATTCCGGAACACCTCAGTCAAACGTCCATGGTAGTGGCTGGGAGGGTATTGTTTCAACAACTCTACGTTTCCTCGGCTTGAATAAGTCTTTGAGGGTAGCTGGTGGGCTAAGAATATGTCGACTGGCAATCCCGGCCGGCCTGGCCCGCTTCGAGCTCTAGCTCTCGCAGGGTCAGCTCCTAAGGCCAGAAGTGATGACCAGAAGGATCGAACTTTTACACTCCCCCAGACCACCACGGCAGCTCCCTGAAGGCCGATCCTGCAAATGGAGCCAAGTCTTCTAAAGGGGTCCTGGGAGCTTCCATGGAATCGTCTTCGGGAGGGTCGTCAATTCGAGCGACATCCTTAGAGCTGCCGAATGGTGGTTTGAAGCCCGCCAGAGGTACTGTGAGTTTCAGAAGCCCTGACTGTTTGAGAAAAAAGGAATGGACCCAGTGTTGGCGCCACAAGGTTCGGTCCCAAACACCTTGCAAAAGTCGAAAAATTTGCAAATCATCGGAGGCCTCGGGTGTGCGCAGAAACAAGAGAAGGGTCGACCGCAAATTCAACGGATGAAATTCACCTGGGGTGGACGAGAGACCCTCTGGTTGATAAGCCTCTGATCCAGGACAATGTGTTGTCCATCAAAAAAGGGGAGTCATGAAAGGAATCAACGCAGCTCGAGGATCTACTTCCTTTGTTCCCTTCGCACGTCTTGAAACGCAAAAAAAAGGCTGCACAAAAATATGCGGGAAATAAGGGAGCTGTGGCTGGTCTCCCTTTCCTTTCCCGAAGAAACCTGACATCAGAAGTTCACTTTTGCCTGCAGCTGCAAGCTACAAGGTCTCTGCCCAAATAGGCGGGGTGGTTTGGGGCAGCTTTCAGGGAGGGTTCCGGAAAATTCCGGGGCTGGTGGGGCATACCACCTGGCCATACAAAGTTTGGATGAGAAAGCCCAGTTTTCCCCTCGATTAGAGACCCAGTGGTTCGAGGCCCCTTCACGCAACACGGCTTCAAATAGCGGAAAGTCAGAGATAGCCACCGGGTTTGTCTCAAAAATAAGGGAACCCCCATTTGTTGGGGTGCTGTGCCAAAATGGACTCTCAAAACAACATCTCAAAAAGTTGGGGAAAGAATGTGACTATTTTCTTTAAAAGAAAAGACACTCCCAAATATGCATATTGCCTTTGGTGGGCACTCTTCATCACTGGTGCTCTCGGATATGTCACGTCTTGACCTCTCTGGCCCATGGCTCCCAATAAAATGTCCCCGATGATCATCACCCAAAGGACACTCGCCTAGCATGGACTTGGGCGCCCGCAAAGGCGATGTGAATAAAACCCAAAGAAAGATGGGGACCCCACATGGCATGGGTGCGAACAGTGAACCTCAACAAACACCAGAAAAAAGCCAACAAACACATTTTAAAAAAATATCGGCAGGATTTCGAGATCTCCCAAAGGAAGCTCGAACTTTGTGTGTGTGTGTGTGTGGGTGGTCACCGGCATAGTCTTTCACAAAAGCTGGGGAAGTGCGTAGAAATTCATGTTTGAGCTAAATCCGAGCTCATCTGCCCAAGCGATGCAGTGATATCCTCAAACATGGCCTTTGGTTGCCCAAGTCAGAATAAGTTCGGAGCTGTTCCTCCCCTCTGGGCCTCGCAAACGACATGTTTGAGGGCCTTCCCCCCTCCTTAACATGGAACCAGCAATACGATTCACGGCAAAGTGAGGCTCTCTGGAAGCCTGTTTCTCTTCTTTTGCCCAGTTTGGGGTGGGAAGTCAAAGTTTGGAGACAAGCCAGTGCCTGGTCGTGGCCAGAAGCCAACTCTCCTTGATCCGCGTCATGTTCTCCAGGCCCAGGTAGGCCACCTCTGTCTCGGCCCGCAGCCAGCCCACGTCCTGCGTCGAGCGCACGCGCTTGGCGCCGAAGCAAGAGACAGAGGGCGGCAATCAAAACGGTGAAACGCGGTCCGACGTTAAATGGTTCTGAAAAAGACATCATCAGTAGGAAAAACACCTAAACATGACAAAAAAAGACGAATCACCCCCCCTTTTCCATGGCCTGAAAGATGGGTTGAACGGCCACAGCCGAGCAGCCAAGCCCAAACAAACCCATTTCGAGCACACGGACATTGGCTTCTGTCACCGGAACAGGGCGGAATAGAAGTCCACAAGACTCAAGATATGAGAACAGGAAAGCCAAAGGACAAAGCATGTGTGAGAATGAGCCTGTCTGTGCAGAACTCTTTGCTGTGTGCTTGTCATGTTTTACAGGTGATGCACCTAAATCCCAGAGCTTCTTTCGCCCATCATCCACTCATCCTGAACCAAGTGGGCCTGTTCTAGGATACAATCACGTCGTCATTGCTCCAGAGTGTCATACGTGAATTGGAGGAAGGTCCCTTCATGTCAGGTTTCCAAAATCCCCAGATACCTCACCAGGGCGTCTATCTTCTTCCAGCCTCTTCCACGAATCGCAACATGTTTCACAGAGTGATTTAAAAAAGTCCCAAACTGTTTGCTTACTACATGTTTAGCCTTCCCAAGAAGTGTAAAGTCCTGCATTCGGGCGGTACGTAGGGTGTGTGCAAGAACAAACCACCTAGCCTATGCGAACGGCATGCTTGATCCTTCTCCGAGAGAGTTCTGGGTCCGCGCACCTCCATGACTTTGCAGGTGCCAAATTCGCGGGGCTACGCGGGAAGCCATGATGGGATGTCCGAGGATTGTCTGTGAAAAAAACCATGTCTAAATATTACCTGGAAGATATGCCATCCCTGCTTCCCCGGCATCCCTGCTCGCTTTTGCTTGTCTGACCAGGTCGGCCATGTGGCTTCGGTCTTATCCTTTTTCAGCCTACCAGCCTTTGCCCCACCAGCTTTCGAAGTGGTTTTGTCGTTCGGCGGTTTGGAGGTGAGGGGGTGGCTTCCCATTTGCCCATTTACAAGACTCAGATCCCCAAACCGCCAACCCACCAGCTGAGGGTTGGGGTGTGAGGAGAAAACATTGCCATCTCCTTGCGGCGGTTGCGATCTGCTGGGTTCGCATGAAGCTCTTTGGAAAAGTTGAAAGACCGAAAAGGATGGGCAATTGAGGAGACCTCTTCTCAAGTACGAGCATTCTAGTGTCCACCCCGAGCATTGCTCCTTGTTCAGGCAAATCCCTTTATGCCTTCCTCCCACATAGCACCTGTGGGAGGGTACCTGGAAGTTTACACCCGACAAGAACCGACAAGAACTCCAAATTTTCAAATCCAAATCCAAACCACCAACCCCAAACCAAGTGAGGCTCTCCTGAATTTTGGGACCCATCCCGGTGCTTGTTCTGGGGATCTCAAGTTGGGGTTCCACTTTTGGACTACCAAGGTAGACTGAAACCCAGCGGATCCTTCCCCAAAAGGAGAATTCCTAAGTTTTAAGTCAAATCTTGAGGTAGTCAAAAACTGGCACCCTGAAAAAACCAACCAACCAACCAACCAACCAACCAACCAACCAACCAACCAACCAACCAACCAACCAACCAACCAACCAACCAACCAACCAACCAACCAACCAACCAACCAAAAGACCAAAGAGACCAAAGAGCCAAAGAGACCAAAGAGACCAAAGAGACCAAAGCCAACCCCACCCCTCCCCTCGTCGAATCCGAGCGAGCGGGGTCGGGGCGTCGGGGCGAGCCTGGAGCTTCTCCGCGTTCTCCAGGGCCTCCGCGCCCTTCCGGGGCGCCGGCCGCTGCAGCAGGCAGTAGCCCCGGCTCACCAGGGCCTCAGCTTGTCCGAACGAAAACACGGGGTGGGCCCGTGTCTTTTGCAGAGTCGAGTGCAGCCGAGAAAAAGGATTAAAACACAGAGAGAGAGAGAGAGAGAGAGAGAAAGAAAAAAAAAAACGACAAGAAAAAACGGACCCTGAAAGAGGCTGTTGCAAAGAAAATGACATCCGGGGGAAGGGGGGGGGGAAGATGTTTTTTTTTTTTTTTTTTTTTTTTTTTTTTTTTTTTTTTTTTTTTTTTTTTTTTTTTCGGAATGCCTGCACTTGCTGGTGCTCAGTAGGTAGGGAATGACCGAGCCCGGGTTCGGGGAATGAACCGGTCTTGGGGAAGATGGTCTGAGGCTCACAGCGAAGCAACAACCTCCATCTCCAAAGCTCAGCGAAGCATGTGGGTGTGTTTTTTGACGCCAAGCATTCTGTTTCGAGGGAGGGTTGGATTCCGGGAGCCTTCAGGTGGCACTTGTCAAACTGACCCCAAAATTCGGTGCCTCTTCAAATGAGTCTCCTTTTATTTCTTTCGTTCTTTTTTTTTGGGGGGGGGGGGCTCAAACTGTGGTTTTTCGGTGGTTCCCCTAAAAAGCTAAACGCAAATGGGTACCCGAAAAAGACTCATCATCCCAAATCCTACAACTCCACTCAAAGACCGGACTTCAACCACCCAACCGACCCTGACGAAAAATATGGACTCCCCCCCGCGATGGTGCTGGTTCGCAGCAGGGAATGAGTTGGAATGACCCCGACGAAGTCGGTTGCACGGTGCACCGCTTGGTCATCATACTTGTGGAAGGCACTGAATGGAATGTTTGCACGACAGGTTGGACAAGACAACTGTCGTTTCAACCAATTTTGCAAGCACTAAAAGTGAATGTGTCCACAAGGTGATATAGAGCCGGGGGCGTTTTGTCGATTCCTTTAGATGCAACGGACGCAACGGGTCGGAGGGCGGTCGGATGGGGTAGAATTTGGGGTAGCTTTGGTGTCGTTCATCGAACAGCCACGTGTGAAGCAGCTCCACTTCACAAGCGAAAAGCCATGGGATGAAGACATATAAGCCTCGGGCCTTCACCTTCTCCAACTTTCACAAAACTGCATGCTGGCTCCAGACACCGCAACACTGAAACCGAACTCGTTTCGAAACAGGCAAGGAAGAAGGGGGGGGGTGTTGGGTTCTGCGTATTCCGCCAGATCCGCATCCCTCGGTTTTGGCGAGCTTCACCCGAGCCCGAACTTGCGTGGTTAACCTGGCCCTGGCCCCAAGTTCTCGAGGCGGGCCTTTGGCTTAAGCCCAAAATGCGAACGGCGGATAGGTGGGGGGGGAAGGGGGTGGCCACGGGCACCTCGAGCCAAACTGGCAGAAACACGAAATGCCCTGAAAGGAGGAGGTTGCATAATAGCCCCTCAGTGTCCGCCATATAGTGGATACCCTAAAAGAAGGAGATTTGCAAAAAAATTAAAGACCCTCAGTGTCCGCCATTTCGTGGGGGGCAGGGCCGGAATCGCTCGAAAACAAAGCCCGGCCTGGCAGATACCGTCCAGGAGGTCCATGGCCTGGCTCCGGAATTCGTCTTTTTCGAGTTGGTCCCGGGTGGAGTCCCTTTGAAAAACCATCCATCCAGTCGCAGGCCCGGATAGAGCTTCGAATTGAGGCAGTGCGCCTACTTCCACTGAGTGTGTTTCGTGGGACCAAAAAATGGGGCCGTGGTCCAGTTCATGTCCCTTTAAACCCACCAGAAAGGGGGTACCCTCAAAAAAGACGCACCCACCGTTCAGCGGCAGCTACCCAGGAAAAGGTGCGGTATTGCTTATCAAGGGATGGTTGAAACTGTCGACCCCTTGGCGAATCACTTGGGCTCGGTGTTTCTGGGCGGGGAACCCGGAGTTTACATTGAGCCCAAAAAGCCCATCCTGCAGAGAAAGCCTGTGGCCGTTTTCAGGGTAAAGGGTCTGGGCAAAAAGCGATCGCAACTTGGCGATCCAGGATCTCTCCTTTTCGGGGGAATAAAAGCTAGGATCGGTCTGAGGGTTGTCGCCGGGAGTCACACTGCGAGAAGTGCACTTTGCCAGCTCAAGGATATGTTGCGAATAAATTCACCACCGAAGGTGGTGGGTGTGGTTGGTTCCCCTTTCAACCCATCCACAAAGTGAGTTTTCTACATTTGGAAGCAAGAACAAAACAGAATCTAGCAGCCGCCGAACCTTCTGCGCGATTGGAGTAGAGTCAAACCACTTCACGCATCTACTGTTCTGCTTGTTGTGCACCTGGCCGCAACCGCTTCGGGATCGAAAAGGGCGCGACTCGCACGGGAAAGGGTCGGTGGCATCTTCCGACATTTGCAGTCAGCACTACAAGAAACCGAAAGAGCACGTCCTTTCCCTCACGCTTGCGCGTGACCAAAGCGCCCGAAATCTCCTTCAGGAGGCGGCTTCGCTCAACACAGCATTGCACCCAGCCAAATGTGCCAGAAGGAGAACGGCTCTGTCGGTCCGTTTGGGTCATTTACAGCGCTCTGTCGGTCCGTTTGGGGGTCATTTTCAAGTGAGTGGTCGAAGCCCCGCCATCTTGTCAAGAACAAAGTCAAGAAACAGTTCAATCGGTTGCATCAATCCCCTCGAACCTAAGATGCATCAATCCAGCCGAAGGGAAACTGCTTCCCAGGGTGTAGCACAAACGTCAACCGCATCTCCGGCTCGGTTCCAGCCCTCCCTGAAACTCCCAGCCTCGGCTTGCTGCTGCATGGGCTCGAAGCCCTCCGGCCATTGAACATCCGGCTGCTCCTGCACCTGCAGCTCCTGCAGCAAGATGGGTGCGTCGGATTGCTTAGGGACCCCCCAAAACGGCGGTTCTCCATTTTGGTGCCCCCTTTAAAACCAACCAAACTAGGGCTACCTCACAAAACAACAGACCCAAATCACAAGACGTTTCTTTTCAGGAACTGAAGAAGAAGACAGTTGATCACCCAAAGCCTCGCTAAACGACTAGCTGGGGTCTTTCGGGATGGTGTCAACGGGAGGCAGCGCGAATTGACGCAAATCGAGAGATACCTAGTGTTGACACCGCGCTGAATGCCAAATGATGGGGATCTTCATGTACAGCCTCTCCAGCGCGGCAAGTCATCAGGGATCACACTAGCCATCATGATGCCGGCGTGTGAACAAGCGCCGTGAACACTTCTTGGTTCGACGCGACCTTCAAAAGTCAGGCCGGTCATGTACATGTGTATGTCAAAGTGTATATCTGGCAGAATCGGTGTGCCTGTACTACTGAGTGCTGGAAACTCGCCCTCCGCGCTCCTCTGCAGGCACCAAATCCGTCGCCATGGCTTGCGAGCCCCGCAAGTGGCAGGGAACTGGCCACGGTTTGACGGCGGGCTCGCCTTTCTCCTGTCACCGGCTAGGCTGGCGGCTACTTTTGCCGCGTTTGCCTGTACTTGAGGGGCCAAACCCACCAATGAACCGTGCACAAGTCTACCTGAGACTCTGAAGGTGCTCAAAGGGGGCACGTTGTTGGTGCAAAAGGCTGAGGAGTGTTCATGAGTTTCCAAGTCTCCTGTCACATCAAGCCCTGGTGGCTGCGTGCGACGTGTGGCTTCTTTTCGACGTCAAGAGGCAAAGAGGCGGGCATGGGGAAAGCCCCTTTGCAGGCCAGACGGGAAAATGATGGAACGCCGCAACACAAGGCCAAAAAGTCATAAGCTAAACTAAATCTGGCGCGGTGTTTCGAATGGTCCATGATAGAAAGTTATGAAACCTTACCTCAGACGTGAAAATTTGCTGCTGTGCTCTGCCTCGATCTGCCTCGTAAGGACGGAACACAAAAACGCGCGTGTTCCGCCGATTAGACTCGACTTGGACCTCACGCAGCAAGCTCCGACATTTACCTTTCTGGGTGTACTTGTGGGTGATTACCTCTGGTTCTGGTTCCAAAGGCAATCAAAAGCAAGCCACAGATTAGGGGGGCCAACTTCCACTTGCGTCTTCGCCCCGAACATTTTTCCAGCAGTAAAATAGATTCCGTTTAAAACCAAAACGAAAAATAGAACATATGCTCCTTTGAGCAAATCCACTTGAGGGATCCTTGCCTGCTTGGGGCCCTTGCCAACCAAGTGGGAACCTTTAAGCAAATTGGAAAGAAGGAGAACATATTTCCAGTAGTGATAGATTCCTAGATTCCCTTATATTAATATATATATATATATACATTAAACAAAAAAAAAACTCCCGCCAATAAACATGGAACCTGACAGGGCATCCCTTCAAAAGGAATCTTGTGTTCCAGGACCCATCAGGTTCTATGTTGGTGCGAGGGTATTCATTTCAGCAAGAAGCCACTCCCTCGCTTCGCTCGCGGCGAAGATTTCCGAGCTCGCGGCGCGCGAGCCGCGAGCGAGCCTTCGAGGTGGGCGGCGGCCGCAGCCACTCGGGGAGATGCAGCGACTGAGGCGAAAAACGCGCGGCGCCCGTTTGGGAACCCCCCAAAACAAGGGGGAGGTCTGGGAAATTGTGCAACCAAACGGCCCAAATGATTGCTGCCTGGAAACTGTGGGGGAAAAAATATTTGGCCGGCCAAGAATGGGTGGGTTTTGCATCCAGTTTCCTTTGAATCACCCCATACCCTGAAAAAAAGACACACCCAAATGGCCCGAATGCTTGTTGCCTGTTTGAAGGCTTGGGGCCTTCGAACATCCTGGTCATTTGTGCGTGGACTGCGAAATTTCACACCCCCCAAGTTGCTCACGAAGAGAGAGGTCTTCGAGGCAAAAAAACGCCAATCAGGCTCGCCTTTGCACATGATGAAGCCCAAAATATATTGTTACTATTATTATTAGTATTATTAGTATTATTATTATTATTATTATTATTATTATTATTATTATTATTATCAATATTATTATTATTAGTATTATTATTATTATTATGCTTATTATTATTAGTGGTATTATTAGTATTATTATTATTGTTAGTATTATTATTATTAGTATTATTATTATTATTATTATTATTATTAGTATTATTATTATTATTATTAGTATTATTATTATTATTATTAGTATTATTATTATTATTATTATTATTATTATAATTATAATTTTTATTATTATTATTTGTTTATTTATTTATTTATTTATTTATGTATGTATTTATTTATGTATCTATTTATTTATTTAGTTATTTATTTATTTATGTATGTATGTATGTATGTATGTATGTATGTATGTATGTATGTATGTATGTATGTATGTATGTATGTATGTATGTATGTATGTATGTATGTATGTATGTATGTATGTATGTGTTGTGTTTGTTTGTTTGTTTGTTTGTTTGTTTGTTTGTTTGTTTGTTTGTTTGTTTGTTTGTTTGTTTGTTTGTTTGTTTGTTTATTTATTTATTTATTTATTTATTTATTTATTTATTTATTTATTTATTTATTTATTTATTTGTTTATTTATTTATTTATTTATTTATTTATTTATATATTTATTTATTTATTTATTTATTTATTTATTTATTTATTTATTTATGCATTTATTTATTTATTTATTTATTAAAAAAATGATCGGGTCCGTTTAGGGCCCTAAAGGGCCCCGTGAAAAAACGCGGCCGGGGTGTACTTTTCCGGGGTTTGGCTTCCCAAAGCCAACCAAAAGGGGTCGCCCCCAAAAAATGGTGAGCCATCCATGTGTGTGTGTGTGTTTTGTTGGGGACCCGAAATGGCGGACATCAACATTTCATGGGGATTCACATGTCCACTTTGCAGGTGGTTCCAACTCTGCAAGTATAACATCGTCCCTGCACCAGAGCGGGCGAACACTCTGCTTGGCGAAAGGCAAGGACAACCAAGCAAGTTTAGCACCCACAAGTTTAGCACCCACTCGAATCGCCCGAGTGCTACTCAATCCAGGTTCCCATGTTGTGCACGGGGCACCCCCCTGCTCGTGGTGATTTCGTGTCAGAAAAGATATCGTGGATTGCCTGCCAAAGTCATCACGAATGCAATGAAAAGGCTCATTGCGCGCCAAGATGTCTTTGACCAGCACGTCCGATGCAAGAAGCAACAGCCAGCCCGCAAGAGTGCATCCGAATCCAAGTCGTGCTGGAGTAGGCATCTGCTTGCTTGTTTGTAAACCGCCGTACATGAACAGCTGGAAAAGCTCAGGGATTGCCTTGGTGAGAGACAACTGGAATGACCCAGCACGACACAGTAAGGTCACAGTCAGCAGATAGGATTAGCTCCCTCTTATATTTCATGTCAGACGACTGCGAGCATGCAATCACGCCTGGAAGGTCTCTTTGTCCACCCTATGGTGGATACCCTCCCGGTAGATCGTCACCGCCTCGAACCGGAGAAACCGGATGCAAGCAAGCTCCACGTCACGCGGATCGGAAGCCAGAGGAGAGGAAATGCACGCGCAATGCAAAAAGAGATGCCGTTGCCAGAACAGAAGCTTCTTCAAGCAGCACTGCACTCTGACATGAACTGCTCAGAGGTCGCCTATTTGTCCATTCGGTAAATCATAACCCATAAATGCTGTTCCAATTAAGAAGAAGTAAATTATCCTTGACCAGATCCCGCTTCCTTCGGTCTCTTTCCATCGACGGCGGTGAGCGGGAGGAAGATGGAGAGGGAAGGTGGGTCCATTCGTTCATCCCATTCACTCATTCCCTTTCTCACCTCTTAATCACATCCTAGATACAGAGGTGAAAGGGTGATGGAGGATGAAGAGAGAGAGAAGATACGGAAGACAAATGACATCTCTTTCCATCCCTTCCCACCTATCCACTTCCAAGCCTATCAATCATCAACAGTGGATAGGGAAGGGACATATGAAAGAGAAATAGCTTCAGAATCCATTCCTTCGTCAACAATATTAAACCTAAGATAAGCAAAAAGACAAATAGTAAATCCATAAAGTCATATAATATCATAAATAATTGTAAAGAAGATAAAAAGCATTCTCATAAAGACAACTTACAACATCTCACCCACTTCCTCATTCTCTCTATCTCCCTTCTCTTTCCTCCATTCCCTCTCTCATCCTTGAATCGAGGGAATAGGAATGGAGGTAGAAAGAGATGATAGGGAGGAGAGAATTGTAGGTGACATCTCTTTCTCTCGGTCACCTCTCCCACATATTAACTCCTTCCTACGACCTCGCTCATCTCTGTCTCTAGGAGTTAATCTGTTGGGTCACAATGGTAACAGCCAGGATGGGATAATGAAAGACAGGAATTAGACCAGAATGAAGCTGTGGACATGAAGACCAACAGAGAAGCGACCCATTATCCCATTCTTCCTTGTCCTTCCGTCCAATCCAGAATGTAACCAAAATGAACGACTTTAGGATGTGAATGAAGGTGACATGCGAAAGAGGAAGGTAATGGCTGACAAGAAATCCATCCTTCATTCACCCACCTGTCAGCTCTTGGAATCGCATGCCAGGTAAACGAACGAAGAGAGAGGTGGCATGTGGATGAGGAAGAGATACACCAACCAACCTTCCCTCGCCACCATCGGTTAACCCTTGATTTGTGGCTCGCCAAGGATAACAGGTTCTTGAATCCCAAGAGCTCCTACAAAAGGATTCTGATGGCAGGGAAGAAGCCAGGAGCTGGGGAAGAGAGGAACACATCCAATATTGTTTATTGTAAACTTTAGAATCCACCGGCCAAGCATTTGACAAGGAATAATGGATTTATGGATTTCCAATCCTAATCCATTCCTAATACGAATATTAACTTGTAATTAATGGATCTGTTCATCAGACACACACACACACACACACCCCTTCACCTCACCAAGCCACAGAATAGAGGCTTCGCGCAAAGACACGAGTCCCTTTAAACGGGGATATCACGCTTTGCCCCATGAAAACACCGTGCTATCCGTGAAGAGCCGCTCACAAGCAACGGTCAGACCTCTCTTGGCCCCCTGCCGGTGTCTCCCCCAGAACTGAAAAGCAGCGCCCGGAGTGCCTGAGAAAACAGAAAAGAAGAAGAAAAAAAAAAGGAGAAGAAAATAAAAGGCCGCCGGCCATGCGCATGGAAAACCGCTGCATGTTGGCCCCGAATTACCCCGTCCCATAGGGGGTATTGCCCTCCAAACAGAGAAAAACACCCTCTATGGATAGATTGCGCAAGTCATCTGGGGTCCAAACATTGCAACCAACGCACCTCTAACTGCCTAGAAAGCTCAACGCCCGTCCCGGCGTTCCGGGTGGTAAACAGCACTGAGGCTTGTTGTTCTGCATTTTGTCCCAAAACCCACACCACCCAAACCCAAGCACCGCCCAACCACCGCCCGAAACCCACCCAAACCAATC